GGTTTATGCTCAGAACGCGAATATATAATGGTATGAACCAATTTGATGGCAGTTTCTTTGTACCCATCCGACACCGACATATGGTAAACTGATTTACAACCAGCTACCATCGTATCGCCCGATCGAACTATGTGATACAGTTTAAGATTTCAAGTGTCATTCCAATTGTAACCTGTCGCTGTTATATTGTTAACTTTAGGAAACGTTTTCTATTGTTTCCTTGTCTTTTTAAATATCTTAACATATTTTGTATATATTTGTTCCATATCTTGTTATATTATGTGTATGGTTTTCAGTGATCTGATCATATAATTTTCACCGCTTTTTACGCCCAATAGGTATAGGTATATATACATATATATATATATCATGCAAATGCGACTTTGCTTGTCGTTAGAGTCGAATACTATCGGGATCGGTGGGTCAGGCTCGCTGACTTGGTTGATGCATGTCATCGATTCCAAATTGTATAGACCGATGCTCATGATGTCAATCACTGGATTGTCGAGATGCGATTATTTACAGACCGCAGTCATATATCTGGAGTATTGCTGAGTGTGGCGTTAAACAACAAACAAACAAACAAAAACAGTGATATATCAGTTCCCCACTGTGATTCAGTAATATATCAGTCCCGATATGCATCAACCTAAAATGACATAATTTTAGATACCATTGATCTTCGGAACCCATTAACGCATCACGTAAACAGGGAATACACGAATTCGGTTAAAGAACAAGTCGCTTCTCATTCATCTAATTTCTCAATTTTCAAAGTTTTGATCAAACTATTGTAACACGTCCAACTGTATGTAAGGAACTCCAAAACATTATTCCCGCATTGTTCGTTTAAATCCTTTTCCTATTATGAGTTGCCTTGGGTGATGAAAAGATTGGAACATGCTGTTTTCTATTTAAAGTGCCTGTATAGTGATACAATGATTAAACAGCAGCCGTCATTGCCCCATGTCATTTCAACACGTTTACACAAATTGGATCTTAACTATGTGCCAGGGTTCATAAAATGTATTTTCCTTAAAGCTCGTACTTTGCTGTAATATGCATCCTTACATGCACAGCTATGTAGCCATCTTGGTGTTTCGGCAAGAAAATAAACTATTCAACAACAGAACCTTCACGAATAGGGCAAGGATTCTGACAGGTAATTTATATCACGTGGCATGTTGTTATTTCTGTCAGCACCACACGTGAGATGACGAGTTACGTGTATGTTTTATGAGAACACATCACCTTCATGACAGCACTACCACATCAACACACCACGTCATCATCCCCTGCCGCCACACGTCCACACGGGCGTCTTAACGAGAACATAATTAAGTTAGCGCCGAGTGATATGTTTCTGTGGAGGTCTAACAGAGCTAATGACATTACGATACCAATAACACGTACACACAGGACATTTCCTAAACGTATGAGATCTCCTGAATACTGATATAGATCAGCACTATGTAGAAAACCTACCTATGGTTATTGGATAATTGATAAAATATTTCCTCTATAAATCTGTACCCATTAAGAATTTGCATAAAGATTTCTGGGGGATATTATTTATTATATGTGACATTAACTACGGCCGTCGTGAAGCAGGTGTATTGAAGTGCGGCGTTAAGCAACAACCACTACCTTTTTGTAGATATTGATGGAGTTGCGGGTTCTACCGGTAGAGCGGGACATGGTTAAAACATGACGAAAGACGATAATTTTCCAGTAACAGTTTATGTACATATTTTTTTAAACACAATTGAACTGACTTATTTTTAAGAATAGAGAATAGAGGAACAGTGGATCCCTTCCCCTATTAGATGTGAATCAGCATAATTTGGTAATAAATTTAATCCCATCTGGAAGATTAAATTTCAAATCTAACTAAAGTCAAAGTTTATATTTATATTATATAATCTGACACTGACACGTAGTGGTGTGGAATAGGAATGTCTCTATTTACATGTTTCAGACATCGACACGTAACTATCCAGTCATCAGGTTTCATTACTACGTTAATATAACATGCCAGCCGTACCAAACCCCATTGTTTTCGTAGACAACGACATATTTTACAAATCATCCTGCACTTGGCATAACATGTTTTCGATTTACCAGTTAATCTATTGTTGACGAAAATTAAACTTAGTCTATAAATACTCCAGAAGAGATTATGTGACTATATTAAATGCTTTTTAAGACAACACGAGTTTTGTCCTGAGATGGTGCATGTGCTTGTGACGGCCCAGGTGTATCTGACGGTGCATGCGTATTTCTTTCGGGTGCCATCGATGGGGCAGGATACCCTAACGTCTTGGCTAACACCTGGTATCATCACTACTTGATAGTGATTCATAAACACATGCTCATGATGCAGTTGGAATCGTACAACGTACTCTATATTTAGCAGAGATTTGTTATGATTATGGAAAGCGTTGTTCGCTTGTAGTTATGAGGTATGTAGAGTCCATGAGGGAAGAAAATATACAATGCCCTCTCTGGTATCATGTATCAGTTATGTAACATGTAGGATATTCAAATTCTGGAGAAGAGGCATAAACTGCAACTCGACGTTCACAACTGGAGATTGAGCTTCTTCCTGTCATAATCACATCGATCTAAATAATGTATTTCACGTCATGGCATGATATAGCGACACTTCATGAGAGAGGAAATCCTGAGAAGAAACTATACCTATCGGCTTGTCTTATCACACGTTTGATCTAAAATTGAAAATATGTTATATCAGCGTTATTGTATCAGAACAATGAACTATACTTGTGCTTTGACCAATCAAAAAATACTTCTACAATGTTATATTTGTAAACATATAACTTGATTTCAAACTTTTACATAGCCACACACACACACACACACACACACACACACACACACACACACACACACACACACACACACACACACACACACACACACACACACACACACACACACACACACATACCATCCATCTACCACCCCAAAATAAAAATGCAATATTCTAAAAACCGTCCAAGTGAATACAATGTTTGCCATACAGACTTTTACATTAAAAACCTATCCGGCAACGTTAAGGCTCCCTCATTTGTGAAATGTAAACTAGGTTTACTATTGCTGCTCAGAGAAATGGATATGGGCGTAGCAGAGAGTTATGTAAATACAACTGGCTACCCCTGACACAGCCTCACGGTGGAGTGTAGAACCCTGCTCCTTAGACTCACGACACAACACCGCAGCTTTGTTTAGGAATCACTGTATTTAATCACATATCGAGTAATGTAATTGACCTGCACGAAGGATGACTGTCGAGAAACATCAGCAGTACAGTGAATATACACTATAAATATGGCCAGAACTGTGTCTAGACATCACCGTCATCTTCATCCGATGACGTGCATATAAAGCCTGATGGTCGACAAGCATGATGCTAAGCTGCCTATCCCTCTGGAAGACAGATATACCCTCTTTGCCCGTAGTCTATTGAAGATGAAACTCATGTTAATATTGTTGATTATGACTTTTTCAGCCATCCCCGGTAACTGGACTGCACGTTTTGGATTAATTAATATTCAGAGGAAAATATGTCTTTGAACATGAAAACCCCAGCAGTCAAGCATTATCATTTAGGCGTTAAAGGAGATACGTTTTTTAGGATCTGTATATGTAATACGTAATTGTTCTCATTAATATTTGATATGTTGGTATATACGTACAGTTTGTAAATATGCGTGTGTCTATGTATTTGTGCTTGGAGTATGTGTGTAGAATGGAAGAATGGAAATGACAGGTATATGTGTTCTATGGTTACGTGTGTTTCATGTTTACGTGTGTTCTATGTTTACGTATGTTCTATGGCTATGTGTGTTCTTGGTTAATGTTTTTTATTTGTTTATGTGTGTTCTATGTTTATGTGTGATCTATGTTTATGTGTGGCTATTTGTATGTTTGTGTGTGTATGTGTGTGTGTGTGTGTGTGTCTGTGTGTGTATATCTGTGTCTGTTAATGTATGTGGGGGAGGGGGGTCTCTCTGTTGGTGTATGAGTGTGTGTGAGTGCGTGCGCGCGTGAACCGACAAAAGTCATTATCTGTCACCAGTATATATATTCGATTGAAACAATGTGTTTACTTGAGTATGTGTGAGTTAAGGCGATGGAATCTATATGTAACTTATGTACAAGTCTATCGTTATTTTAGTGTGTGTATGCAATGTATGCATGTGCATAGTAGAAGTTAATTATCTTTATTTATGTTTATATATATTTCTAGGTATTTTGCAAGTCTGGTCTCTCGTAAATGTTTAACTCCGTATTTTACATCGTTGTAAAGAACATCAGGGCTATACACATCACACATCACATATCACATATCACACATCACACATCACACATCACTCATCACATATCACACATCACACATCACATATCACATATCACACATCACATATCACACATCACATATCACACATCACACATTACATATCATACATCACACATCACATATCACACATCACACATCACACATCACACATCACACATCACATATCACACATCACACATCACATATCACATAGCACATAGCACACATCTCACATTACATATCTCACATCACACATTACATATCACACGTCACACATTACATATCACATGTCACACATCACACATCACACATCACATATCACATATCACACATCATATATCAAGAAATGTACTTGACGTGTACGAATATTGACTACTGGTAAGCATCAGCAGTACAAAGAATATAAAGCCACATGTATATTTTTTGATATTCAATACGATACACGGGAAAATCATAAAATACATTTCGTTTTAACTTTCGGAAAACTGTTGCCATGGTATCTGTGTCTCTACACATCTCTAAAACGTACAACACAGGCATAACAAAACCTGAAGTTACAACAACGACAGACATTTGCTGAATACATTCCACGTGCACATAGTCAGCGCTAGTCAACATGATTCCGGCCCATACTCACCTCAACGGTCTCATGTGCTGTACACGGCTGTAAGATAGTCCTGCCTCCTCTCGCGAACCACTCGGTAATCCTGGCTCTGACTGCGAGTTCCGCGTTGCCGCTATCTGTGTAGAGTATGTCGAATGTATACACAATGCTGCAACAACAGCTGAGTATGGACGGAGTCACCTAGCGCTTCTGACCATCCGTGTCACCTTAATGACCCGTCAACGTCTTCTCGAAGGGGGGTCGGGTAGGGGGCGTGTGACACAGGTGCCCATCCCCCTGTACGTACGTGAATACTTGATGAAGGGCTAACTTAATATCACAGTGGTTTTCTCTGGGTGGTTCTGTTACGGCGGCGGCTGCGCGGGAAGACTTAGATTGCGAAACGGTTTACGAATAAAAGAGGCTTCTGTGTATAAAATCGTGAATCAGTGCTTACAGATTACGTTGCGGGGACCTGCTTGGCATAGTTGTGTTTAGTTTTCACTGCGTTCAAGCCACAGCATATTTAGGCTATGGATATAGCTGCTGTTTTTTATCTTAATCCGGTTGATTTTTTGGGACTGAGAGGTAAGCGTTATATTAGGCATTTGGTACAGATTTTAAGGAGAATGTGTGGTTGATATGTTTGTGAATCTGAAAAGTATTTAATTTTTAGGCGTGTCAACCAACGTGTTTGGGTATAGTGCTGACAAATATAAGATCAGAATCAGAACAATAGTGAATTTAAGACAAACGATCAGCAGATCCTGCAACAGCCTACCAGTGGTCAATAGGGTGAGCAAACAGTGACTTGGTATGACGTGGCCGGGGATCGAACCACCAACCTACCCCTCTGCTGACAGACAGGCGGTCACCTACGAGAAGGGATCGACCTCCTCCGAGGTCTATTGGTAGAGCGTCCGCGCGGAGAGCGGAAGGTCTAAGCAAAGTCCAATCAAAATCGCGTAACGATGTGCAGATTTTGGTCGATTGCTGGATTTGCCAAGCATGTGTACCGTCACCTTAGCGTCAACAGATATAAACAGATATCGTTTCATGTTTTCAATCAAGGTGCTCACGTAAATTGATGTACTTCTCGATGTAGGACTCGTTTTCTAACAATATAGATACTGATTATCGATCAGATCGTCTTCACTGGACCCCGCAATTTTGTTTGAAGCAAATGCAAGTGATATGAGAGGTGCAATCTGATTGGTCAATAGGAGGGAATTAGAAGGGACATAACTCGTAATAGCCACTAGTGACGCTACTATCGAGCCCAGAAATTGAAACCTAGTTCGGCAAGGGTGGAAACTGGACTTTTACGGTCAGTTAACTCCCTTGCCTCGGGAAGATGGATATAAGTACTAAATGGTTAGACATTTTTTCCAAAGTGATCACGCCATTTACCAATCTCCAACAGAACAATTACAGATTCTTATTGACCAAAACATTTTCAAATGAGAACGTTGGGTATATTTATTGCTTGGTGAACGCATACCAGGCTACCAAGCGTGCTACACGTGAGATATCAGACTGTGTTTTAAGTAAAAAATAACAGATTATTACCGAGACATAATGTACTAGTCTGCCAGGACGAAAGCGAGCAACTCATTCAAATTACGAGCTCCCTGTATTCAGGAAACAGATTCATGCATAGTGTAATGAGATGGGAATTTTTAAAATGTCAGGGCGGAACATAAGGTTACATATATAAGATAATCTCTTACAAAATCAAATCTATCTCTGTCTAGTCTCAGTGAAGCTCATTTGTCATTTGGTATATTTTCATGATCATGACAAAGCTTTAGAATGTTTAGTGTCACGATAATGAGAAAAAATTACATTTAGTTTTAATATGAATCTGTGGGACATATTATTATTTGGGTGCGACGATGCTGCGTCGCATTTGAGAAGAGGTCGCTCGAAGGAATGTGTTTGTAACTTAAATGGCAAAGTGGAATGTTTGTGTGCATTGTGATGTGTCTGGATTATATGCATGAGCAAATGTCCTGACCATCGCTGTCAACACCATAGGATGGAAGATGGTGTGATTTATCACCCAAAACTGGCTTCTACAGGAGATATCGCGTGGGCAATATTATGAGAGTAACTAACGAGCTGCGAGAAATTACGGTTTATCTTTACCAAGGCAATTAGTGTCATAGATCGCGAGTGAGCGAAGCGAACGAGGGACGTATGACATTAACTCTCGAGGGAAACATAAATCGTAATTCCAAGTTTCGAGTTGATTTTTCTCTCTCTTAAACGCATAATCAAGTTTACTACAAACGCCTCATTCCTAACCACCTTCGAAATATCTGTGGCTGTAGTGAGTGAGTGAGTGAGTATGGTTTTACGCCACTTCTTTTGGCAATATTCCAGCAATATCACGGCGGGGGACACCAGAAATGGGCTTCACACATTGTACCCATGTCGGAAATCGATACCGGGTCTTCGGCATGACGCGCGAACGCTTTAACCACTAGGCTACCCGACCGCCCCTCTTGTGGCTGTAACCCAAAACATATGTATCTCTACGCAACAGTAAACACGCAACCTTTTCAGGGACATGTGATTGTGTAAAATTACTCCCTATTTCCATTTGGAAAGTATATTTGTATCACTTTCACTTGTTACAAAAACAACATTCAAAACGTAAGAAATGTGTTGTTGCATTGAATTCATTAATTTTAACAGATCCGTGAAGACGCGGGTTAGAATTGGTCTTGGTAAAAGGCAATCATGCTTGTCGTAAGAGGCTACTAACGGTATTGGGTGGTCAGATTCGCTGACTTGGTTTATGCATGTCATCTTATCCCAATTGCGTGGAACGATACTCATGATATCAATCACTGGATTGTATGGTCCAGACTCGATTATTTTCAGACCGCCGTCATATAGCTGGAATATTGCTGAGTGCTGCGTTAACGAATAAACAAGTAAATCATTAATTCTAACAAGTTAACAATTTTACAAGTCAACATCGGCGAGTGTGAGAATGTCAGTTGAGGTGTTTGTCGCAGGTGTTGGCGTAAAGTTACAGCAACTGACACAGTAAGCCAGTTTTCGAACATGAACAAGTTGATGCCATACCTGCATAACACAACTGGATGATGGATGGATGGACATGGGATGTTTATTAAGTTTCAGTTATTTATTCAGAATCAGAATCCAGAACTTTGCGACGTCTCATTCCATATCAGCACTTGGATGACAGACTGAAAGAAGGAAAGAAGGAAAGAAGGAAAAGTATTACCGGCGACCCATGAAAGACGTGTTATTCATAGAAAAGCTGTAAATACCAAGAGCATTACAGAACATATAATGCACTTAATACGTCCTTTGTGGGTAATGAAAAACGATATTTCCATGGAGATTCCGCAGCAATGAAATTGCCATTCAAAGCTTTCAGATGACTAATCTATCGGCTACAAAATCTGGTTAGCAGTACTTTCTACACTCAAAACACTGCTTATAATTGTTTACAATTATGTTGGATGACATATAGAATCTCTTTCTCGGGTCTATTGATATCAAATATGTCACCAGTCGTCGACAAAAGCCTCGAGGTTGTAAACTTTTATCGACTCGTGTAAATATATTTGATATCAAAAGACACTTGGGTGAGATTCTCCATTTATAAATTTACAGATATGTGCTGAGAAGGATGTGCTTGAGGAAAAGTGGCGTTTCAACTTAGTTCAACTTGGTTATTACAAAATAATATCAACTTGAACTGACTATGTTTCTTATATCGAGTAGGAAGTGGTGTTGGTTGTATAGTTTTCACATACTGATCAACCTCCAAAAGAATAATGACAGATTCTTGTCAAATGACACTCACTCACTCACTCACTCACTCTACCACCCACCCACCCACCCAACCAACCACCCACCCACTCACTCACTCAATCACTCACTCACCCATACCCACCCACCCACCCACTTACTCACTCTACAAAGACATGGGAGAATCTATTGATTTATCGCCAATACTATTATTGCACTAAATCTCTCATACCGATACATTTGCTGAAATATACAGGCGTGGGTGTGACGACTGCAGAATGCCAGGGAACACCCAGGACAACTTCAAGTAATCGACCCATCTCGAGAATCGAACCAAGGCCTTCGGCGTAACAAGCAAACGCTTTGTCCTCTGAGATACTGCTTGTACAGTGAGTGAGTGAGTGAGTTGGGTTTAACGCCGCTTTGAACAATATTCCATGTATATAAGACGTTTTAGCTTAATGCTGGAGGAAAGCCCGAGGTGATGCAGGTCTAACTTTGGTGAGACCCACGAACAGGGGTATGGTGCTGGCAAACCTAGAAGCATAATCGGGGGATCGGGATTCGAACCCACAATCATAGGTTTCTGGCGTGCCCAAGGGACGCAACTCTGCAAAGTGACGACTGAGGCACCCGTTCCCCCTGATAGTACGCGATGAAAGAATGGCGAATACTTCCATAGCACTCCAAAGGGTTTGCCCTTATTGCACCATGGATAGGGTGAATCGAACCAGTGGCACTACCCATTAGGCCACCGATCTCATGACGAGTCTTACCACCTATCAGTATTTTCTGTAGAGATATGGGACACCATCACAGCTGTAAATGTGGTATATAAACATATTCTCGTTCTCTGATGTCACTATCAGTACTTTGGCGGTGGGTAGCCTAGTGGTTTAAGCGTTCTCTCACTCACTCACCCACTCACTCACTCACTCACTCACTGGCATCACTTGTTTGGCAGTACACGCACTATACAGTATCTTTTGTTTTAATAACAAATTGTTATCAGTGAACCATTGAAACAATGACTTCAAAACCCAACCCGTATCTGTAAAACACAATCCTGGTGTCTAATGTCCCTCTTTGGGGCACAAGCGGCGTTAAACCCAACTCACTCACTCACTCACTCACACACTAATGTCCCTCTTAACATATCTATTTATCTTAGAATGTTTGACGTAGGATTTCAGAATAAATCCACCACTCAAAAGACATTCTTCTCCAAATAGGGGCCACCACCTCGCGACGCTTCTGTATTAAACCGCATTTGTTGAGGACAGAGTGTATTTCGCCCAATATACACCAGCAATTACGCGACAGCACCCCTCGCCAGGTTCCCGGAATAAAAGCTTCACTGAGGCCGTATCCGCTTTGTTCGTCACGTACATATCTAAGTAGATGGAATTGTAGAAGAAGTGTGAACAAATAGTATTGGGATTAACTTAATACGCTCATGGTGTTTTCATAATGTAGGTATGGAATATCTGAAAGCGGATTGTGAATATACATAATACATAAATAAAACATATGCTAAGTGTTTTCTTGTAGGTATTTCAGATTGGGATATACTTCAGAGGATTTGTTTATAGCGTTAAGTGGTCGTGTGCTCTAGTTTGGGTCGATATTGTAATTGAATATTTTCGTGGCAGTCGGTGTCAAATGTAATCGTTATATAGCTCTCTACATTGTTGTATACGTCTGCATGTCATGTGACTCGTATTGGGGGGCACGGGTGGCCCAGTCGTCTAAGGCGCCGCGATTCGCTGTGGAGAGCTACGTCCCTTGGGCACGCCAGAAACCTATGATTGTGGGTTCGAATCCAGGTTCGCCCCGATTATGTTTCTAGGTTTGTCAGCACTATACCCGTGCTCGTGGGTTTCACCGAAGTGGTAAACGTCTGAGACCTGCATCACTTCGGGCTTTCCTCCCACATTAAGCTGACACGCCGCGATATAACTGGAATACTGCTAAAAGCAACGTTAAACCCAACTCACTCACTCACTCACTCACTCGTATTGAACGTCATGTCCCGTCAAACGCTCACAGTGAGTGAATTAAACTGCCGGGCTAAATAAAGTACTAGTGTGCCCTTGAAAAATGAATTTGACCACATGATTGTAAACGTTATCAACGCGATACTGGCCTGAAAAACAGTCGCCGAAACACTGCAAACTTTAGTGAGTGAGTGAGTATGGTTTTACGCCGCTTTTAGCAATATTCCAGCAATATGACGGCGGGGGACACCAGAAATGGTCTTTACACATTGTACCCATGTCGGGAATCGAACGCGGGTCTTCGGCGTGACGAGCGAACGCTTTAACCACTAGGCTACCCGACCGCCCCTGCAAACTTAAGGCCTATACATCACTATGATACCAGTATCAAATACATCACCGTTGAATAACCATTTCTTGTTTGTTTCATTTTAGACACCATCAATCATGGGTGTGTAGTTGCTTTTGTCAAGCAATTTAGGTTCTATGTAGACGTGGAGATCCGGCTTGGAATAGAACTTCAGCAACCTATGCTTGCCGTAAGAGGCGACCATGCTAGTCGTTAGGCGACTAACGGGATCGTGTGGTCAGGCTTGTTGACTTGGTTGATGCATATCGTCGTATCCCAATTGCGTGGATCGATGTTCATGTTATCACTGACTTGTCTAGGCAAGATTCGATTTTTGAAAAAGCTTCGTCGCATTGCTGGACTATTGCACTAAGAAGCGTTTTAAACCTCTTTGAACTTTATTAAGCTTTTATTAAGATAATGACGTGTCAGCTTAATGTGGATGAAGTCACGCAGGTCAGAGATGTTTGCTACATTGATGAAGCCAACGAGTATGATGCTGACACACCTTGCACAGAGTAAATCTCAAGACCAAAAAATTTACGAATTAGAGAATGAGGAAGTTTACTAAAACGCCGCTTTGAACAGTATTCCAGTTATATCCCGGTCTCGTAGTGATGCAGGGGCCGTATTTATCAAACAACTTAAGTCATAAATAAAACTTAAGTCAGTTAAAAAAACTTAGTTTTCTTGTTTTTTTACTTAAGTTTAGTGGAAAAACTTAAGTCATATTTATCAAAAGACTAAGACTTAAGTTTTGTCATTTTTTGACTTAACTATTAAGACTCACCTTGCTAGGCTTAAATCATGTATGTTTGACTTAAGTCATGTAAAATGGCTGCCAGACGCAATTCAAGAATATTTAATGAGAGAAGAGATATACTACATTCATTAGATGACAATGAACTGATACAGCGGTACAGATTTGATAGGAACAGTATTGTTTATATCTGTGATATCCTTGAACAGGAGTTGAGTCCTATAACACAGCGGAGTTGTGCCGTGTCCTGCGTTACGAAGGTGCTTGTCACTTTGCGTTATCTTGCCACTGGCAAGTTCCAAATATGTAACAGTGATGACCATGGTCTGAGCCAACCCACTATATCTCGGGTGATTTTCCAAACGCTTGACTCCCTCACAAGTCACCGTATCCTTCGTAGATTTGTTACCTTTCCTGTACAACCCCAAGAAATAAGACGCCATCAACAGCGCTTCTATCAGACTGCCAATTTCCCGGGTATTGTTGGGGTAATTGATGGCACCCACATTCAAATTCAGGCCCCATCAGTCAATGAGAAAGAATTTGTCAACAGGCATAATTACCATAGTGTAAATACACAAATAGTGTTTGACAGCGACGATCATATTATCGACATCGTTGCACGTTGGCCTGGCTCAACACACGACTCCCGCATTTTAACAACAAGTGGGTTATGTCGGATGTTCGAGGGGAACCGGCTACCAGTAAGTTGTCATCTGCTTGGAGACAGTGGCTACCCTTGTCGGAGATGGATCCTAACACCATTTTTGCGTCCTCTCCAAGGACCACAGACAAACTACAACAGGTAATATTACTTCGTTCAGTTCACTACGAGCACTCAGCAATAGAGTGACTTCCCCTGGTTAGGTAGAATACTATCTCAAACCTAAAAACGGAATGGAAGAGTTACACATATTTGCTGTAAAGTATTATTCAGGCATCATTCCGTTTAATTCCTACTTAAGTGTCGTAAAATTATGTAAGTAGCAAATCAGGTAAAAACATATGTATGATTATGTATTCATCAGTAAGAAATAATAATCATTTTATCTCACTTCTCTTTTATGTATGAAAACATACTAGTATGAAGCATTGATTCTATGAAATATAACCACACACATAACAAGAAACAGCAATATTAAGGGGTTTGCAATATGTTGTCATTATAATGACCAATGGATTGAAAATGTTAGTTTCTATCACTGAGAACATAGCAAAATGTGTTCTTCTCTTTCTTATACTCCCAATTTAAATTTTATATGATTATCTGCTAATAATGATTATTCATTGCAATTGTCAGATCACATAAGAAAACAAGGAGTTGTGTGGAGAGGGGAATTGGGCAGCTGAAACGTCGGTTTCATGTTTTACATGGGGAAATCAGACTTTCTCCACAGAAGGCGTGCAAGGTATAGAAATTAGAAAATGTTTTCATTTCTTTTTATTCAATTTCAGTAAAAAATGGAGAGTCTTCATAGACTTACACTTTAATGGAATTATTTCTTTTTCACATTATTATTGTCAGGACTAGATATACTGTAGGTTGATAAATAAACAAACACAATACGGTGAACATTAATTTTTTATTCAATGAAGACAGTAACATTTCATCAATATGACATTAAACTCACTCACTCACTGTCATGTGTTATTGTAAAAAAAGTCAACACAATTTCATAATCTGTATCTGTATTGATGTTCAATATTCATTTTCTTTTGACTTATTTTATATCTAGCTTAAGGGAAAAAAAAAATTAGGCAAATATATCTGAGATCAAACAGTACATAGGATAACATATTTGAAATACAGACCATACATTTCACTCTTTGTCAAATTCAACACATTGTAGAAATATTTGTCATTAGATTAAGGCCACATCAGTTCATGAAAGGGTATTGAATAGGCTTTTTTAACATTTTTCTAGGTAATAACTGCCTGTGCAGTGCTGCATAACATCAGCAAAGACAGGAATGTGCCTATGCCAGTTGTACATGGAAACAGCCAATCCGGACAGCTAAGGGCACAGATGCAAGGTCTATCAGCCATTGCACCTGCAGCAACAGGGTTGAGATATCGGGAACAGTTTGCAATCACCTACTTTCCATGTAAGATATTTCCTGCTACTATTATTTGGCACTCTAAGTATGCACTTAGTATTAATTTAAATTTTCCTAAGGGACAGCCCATTTGATATTCGGGGGTGGGTGGGAAAAATACATTGTTGCAAGGTGTTTTTCTAAAAACAATTAGCTCATATTTTTAAATAATGCGATATCTGTGTCTGTAGCTGAAAAACTATCTAATCTTGAAACAAAATATAATACTAGCCCCTACCCCCAAGCAAATATCAAATGGTCGGTCCCCACTTGCGTGACATGAGCTTTACAGTCTATTCTTCTACTTTGTAAATTTTCTTTGTTAGATACTCTTTTCTTAATTTTAAACATTCAATTTCTAATACAAGTTTTTCTTTGTTTAATGCTTCCATAGAAGTCTGATTCTGGCACTGGCAAGTCCTCTCTGGCACGTGGAACACATTGGCCATGTCCTCAACTTCACCGCTGAAAGAAATATATATACATTATTTGTGTATTCGGAGCCTTGTGTTTTGTTTTTATACAGAGACTTGTCAATAATTGCAAATTGACTGCCTGTGGCAGACACATTGGGAAAGAACTTTAAAGAAGTATACTTTAAATTTTGATTTCATAAATATATTTTGGGGAGTATGTAACAAAGCTGACAAACATGAAATACTAAGTGATGCAATAATGTTAGTACAATATCAACATCAACATTTATGTCATTTGTACCTCTCTCTTGATGTCATGACATCAAGCAGTTGTAGGGCCGTCGAATCACAGGAGTTGGATATTCCTGTCAAAGACATGTTGTCCCTCCCTATGGCCTCTACAACTGCATCTGTGACAGGACTTACAGGGATGGGAGGTGGACCGCCTCCTGTAAGTGCAAGAAGCAGTATAGGTTATAGTGTGAATGGTGTTATAGTATTTAGAAACATATTATCACAAAACCAACACAATATAGAGACAAGTACTCTTTTGACCTTCAAACATTGAGATAGGTTTGTGTTGGTATAATTATACTCTTAATATACAGCAACAAGTTACAATGTAGGTCTTAATAATAACTGTGAAGGAATGACAATATCCTTTTTCCACTTTCACATTAACTATATCATTTTAGGTCACCTTTTTTATCAAAACTATTTAATAACTAAACTAATGTATCCATAAGTATGTTTACCAGTGGCAATGGTTTGCTGCCTGAAATTAGAAAAGGCTTTCTTTGACTGGCTCTTCAGGTTTTTCCATTTCTTTTCAACCTCCTCCTTGGTCCTCCTGTGCATTAAGCTTGCATTGAGGGTGTCTGTAATCATCTGCAATATAAACATAACAACTCAAATGAAAAACACATCAAATTACATTAATAATTTTTGTTAGTATTAAATCATGCTATATGCACACTGTACATTGTACACAGTTTTAAGACTTAATTTCTGTCCTTGTGGTATTTACACTCAAATTGATTTCTGAAATAAAGTACTGATTGAAAAGAGATATCTTTATTTTTAAACATGAGACCAATTATTCATGATGTTTTAAGCCTTTTAATAGTTTTTATGTCCATTGAAATATAAAAATTGAAGTGAATTATGTATCGTGATACATAGTGTATCATGAACTGAGTATTGCGATATTGATCATATTTTGTATCCAAAGCCCAGTTTTAGCAAAGCTGTTTAGACCCAAAATTATATGGGACTGTGTTACTAAGAAAATAATATTATTCATATTTCAGTATATTGTCATATATGTTTTACATTAATATTGTAAACAAGAGTATATGTGCATTACATAATATAACATTTCATCAAGTTCATAATATGACTATGCAGCACTAGATCGAGGTTGTATGAGATCCATCACAATATATTTATTACTAATTAATGCATAGGAACACATTGATTGGTCTTGATATGGAAATGACATTTTGACCCTGTAATAAGTTATTGTTAAATTAGTTAAACTAACTTAATTGTATGCTTTTGACATGAAAGTGATAGTAATGTAACTTTAGGATACTAACATGAGGCCTAGGACTAATGCAAATGCCCCAAAAGGAGTACAAAATGACATAGATCTAGGCTACTGGTTTGGGTTCAAAATCACCGAAAATTTTGGGTAAAAATTGTTAGGGGTACAGACAATAGGCCTACCCCGATGAAGATACAAACCACAGTGCAACTTGAGAAAGACGAAAATAATTGTTTGGGTCTCAGTGTCTAAATATGACCAAAATATATCATTCCCGTGGTACCTGGACTTACGAAGTGTGATGATGGAAGGTTGGAAAACGTCTTGGTTATTATTCGACCACATGCATTCTTGGATACGCATTACGGTCTTGTCTGCTACATATGTATGTAAAATCAATGATGTAAGCGGCTAAACATCTCAAAACCCATAAAAAAAACACTCACTGCCGCGGAACTTTTACCACGTACCTGCCAAGCCTCCTGTCGCTTCAAGGAGGTGATGCCGGGGCCAAACTTTCCTTCAAGCACCACCTTGTTTGATGCCACCAGCTCTGCTAGTAGTAACGATTCTTCTTTGGTAAAGTTTGGCCGTCTCTTTTTCGCGTCTTCGGTCATGGCGTGGGCCTATCTTGAAGCTCGCAGCGGTGTTTATTATCGTCTGCGCTGTCCGGGAATTCCCCGATGACGTTTTTCTCTCTCTTAGTGAAAAGAGTTCCACTGGTAGGCTAAAAATAGCTGGGATAGTCCTTAGTGATCACGTGTTTGCATTCGGTGAAATCGACTTAGTTTCTCACGGCAGACTTAGCTAAGTTTTTTACTTAGACGCTTCGTGAATACCAACTTAAGTTTTTGACTTGGCTAAGTAATTTTTCAGAAACTTAAGGTTTTTTTAAAGCCAAAACTAAGTTGTTTGATAAATACGGCCCCAGGTCTCAGACATTTACCGCTCTGGAGACACCCACGAACACCTGTGGCGAGACCAATATCAATGTGATCTGTGTTCTGTCACGTCTAAGGGAGGCAACTCTGCACAGACCACTGGGCATGGGCGGTGCCAAAACATGTTTTAATCCAGATAAATAGGAACGCTATTTTGCGTATTGTTTGATTTATGTGTTATAATGTAAAAGACTATGGACTTAACAAATGCATACCGCTTACATTGATGTTGAAGAAGCATGGCAAAACCATACGTCGATCAATCGTCTGATGGAGGCCGTTAACACTGTAAACATTGCAAGTTGAAAACAGGACTAGTGTTCACAAGTCTCCACTACTTAGTTCAAACATATTAGTTAATATGATACGTTTACTTTACCATTAGTTCAAGTCTATGCTGTTTACAAATCTAACTCGTGATCTCTCACTTTGCTCTCCTAGCACATCTCTTGAAAACACTATTTGAGTTACTTTTTTAGCTAGTACAAGAAGGAAGACCCCTTTGGGGAGTCAGACACGAACATATGTGTCCACTGCACGCAATGATCTTAGCGCTACGGCTGTCGTAAGTCCATGTTAAAATATAGGAGTTACGACCATCTTAGTGCTAAGATCAGTTTGTGCCAGTGGACCAAGGGTCCCGGTCCACAAAACGATCTTAACGCTACGACTATCGTAAGCCCATGTTAAAGTATGGCAGTTGAGATCATTTTAGAAATAAGATCGCTTTGTGCAAGTGGACCGAAGTCTCCAGTACCCACAGCTCTAAGAGCTAATGAGGATCGGGTTGACAGGCTCGGTAACGAAGCTGATTGCGTGTCATCGCCCGATGACGTAGATATTATACTTTCAGTTTCTGGTTTGACTAGTACAGACTCGATCATTTACAATATTGCAGACTGCGGCGTTACACAACATTCAGCCACTCACTTTGAGTTCGTAGTCTGGAATTTTGGGTGCGATCCTTCCGCCATTGCGTTCATCTGCGTTGTCCTGCCACCTCTATGGAGAAATACTCACTCTTGACACTTTCCTCCCCAAAATAACGTCGTCTAATTTACGACGTTATCAAGTTGCGAGCGCATGTTCGAATCTCCAGACATGATGTCATAATAGAACACTATTTTACCGTAAAATAAATCACACTTCGTTCTTCATTGTTCTTCGCGATTTATTCAGTGACTTCCTTATAATCATGTATAAGTTCTATCTTGTTCTGCTATAGTTCTAGATTTGTCTATTCATACACACATTGTGTAAACTAATGTTTCTTATAATATATGATAGCTGGACAGTGTTATTGATTCAATAAACTAATCCGACAAGCTTAGTGTCACGATCCTAAACACGATGCAGGAACTATTTTCAACCTCCATACATCAATGCGATGCCTTCGTTCTAAATAATACTATTGGCCAATATGATTTGGTTTGTGGTTCCAAATGTGTCGTCCAAACATGGCGACAAACATGGCTGTGAGTCATTACTGCACTATAAATTTGCTAAAAAAATCGTATGTATTCACATTTCATTTTCTATTTCCTTGAGTGGTTGACGTCCTATAATACCACCATATCTATAATGGCAAGGTATGATAACGATAATATTATCCTCTTCTGTTTCCGTATCATAAATATCATAAAGTCTTCAAAACAAATGTAGGGGATACTCGGAAATAACCCAAAATGTCCCAAAGTGTAAGAGATATTAGTGTCTAGTAATGCAGTAAACTACGGTTATAACGAAATCAAATAGACCACTAATTGTAGTTCGCTATAACCGTCGTTCGTTATAAGCATGTATACAGCTAATGCACGGGGATCCAAACAATTTCGTTATATCCATCAATTCGTTAAAAGCGAGTTCGTTATAAACATAGTTGTATGATGATAATGAACGAATTTGGACCACATTACAACCGGAGGTGACGTATGACAGTGGATGTTATGACGCCAACGATCTCGAAGGACGATAGTTGTGAGATGGGAAATTTCAAATTGACGGTTTTGGATCAGTAGTGCCTAATACCACCACGATTTGGCAAACAACGGGGCATACATGTATGAGTCTCCCAATGACGACTTGAGGGAGTCTGTCCCACTCCCCTTGCAGCAATGGGCAAGTCAAGCCAACGTGGTCTTCAGCCTATGACGTTAATGCACACGTCTCCCTGTCATGCCCAAGACGTGTTCAAAGTGGGAGGCGGTGGGCTCATTGATGCCCATGTATGCTGTGCAGGTGGATGTGAGCAATGGCGAATTGTGCACGGTTTCACGGTTTGCACGTGATAGGCAAAACGTCGACCCACACGCCCTGCCTTCTTATGTTCCGTTACGCGTACTCCAGCAGCCTTATCAAAGGCTATTTGATTTGCCGTTTGACCTCGATTTCGTACAGCCTGGTTTTGAATCAATCGATCCTGTATTGTCGTTAATCGATGACGTCCTGAAATTGGTCGATCGTCAACATTTTGTGATTGTTGGTACCTGTTTAATAGTCTGCTAATCACAGACTGTGGAATTTTGAACGTATTGGCCACTACTGGTACACATTGCCGGAAGATGCACTCCTTCTCAGTAAATGAATATACACGGTAGAGTTATCTCCCTTTCACTAGTTATCGTCAAGCTCCTTCCCAGCGCGTGACACCTTGGTTACACTCTCGGTCACATCGCTGCCACCAGTGAGGGCGCGGCCATTACAAGAATCTGGAAATTTGCCCTCACACCCTAAATGTAGTGACGTTCATACTGTAGTAACGTTTATACAGTTTGGGAGCTTTGACTGGTGGCAGCGATAGTATCTTGAGCTCCGCGAACGGGATATCGAGCTTGAGTTATCGCTTTACTGTGCTGCATACAGTTATGTGGATATAATCCTTACAGGTCTACAGCACGAGGACAACACATGAATTTAAAGCAACTGCTGTAGCTGAACAGATACAGAACACGTTGGGTAGACACACAATATACTGATCAGTTGCAGCATGGGTAGTACCATCACGAGTGCTTAAAACATTAACGGTGACTTTAAGCTGTTTATAACCAGACCCTTAATTGTTAATGTGACAATGTGATGTTTCTGTAAGCATAAATCTATTGGCTCAGATTTCGTTTTCATGTATGATATAGCAATAAACACGATAAAACTGTACCATACAATATTGTTTATATTTTCAAATATATTAAGTATTGTCATGTTGACAGATGAATCAAGATGAACGTTTTTATGTTACATACGAGTGAAGGTGCATTATTACATTTAGGACTGGGTGCCTGTCAGTCGTGTACTATAAATACAGAAATACGGAAGTCTTGTACAATAACCACAGAAATACGGAAGTCATCTCATTCAGTTGAATCTCATTGTCACATCACTCAGCTGAATCCCATTGTCACATCACTCAGTTGAATCCCATTGTCACATCATTCAGTTGAATCTCATTATCACATCACTCAGCTGAATCCCATTGTCACATCACTCATTTGAATCCCATTTTCACATCACTCATTTGAATCTCATTGTCACATCACTCAGCTGAATCCCATTGTCACATCACTCAGCTGAATCCCATTGTCACATCACTCAGTTGAATCCCATTGTCACATCGTTCAGTTGAATCTCATTGTCACATCACTCAGCTGAATCCCATTGTCACATCACTCAGTTGAATCTCATTGTCACATCACTCAGTTGAATCTCATTGTCACATCACTCAGCTGAATCTCATTGTCACATCACTCAGCTTAATCTCATTGTCACATCACTCAGCTGAATCTCATTGTCACATCAGTCAGCTGAATCCCATTGTCACATCAGCCAGCTGAATCCCATTGTCACATCACTCAGCTGAATCTCATTGTCACATCAGTCAGCTTACTCTCATTGTCACATCAGCCAGCTTTATCTCACTGTCACATTACTCAGATGAATCCCATTGTCACCACACTCAGCCGAAACTCCTTGTCAAATCACTCAGCTTAATCCGATTGTAATCTCATACAGCTGAATTCCATTGTCACATCGCTCAGCTGAATCACATTGGTATCTTATTCAGCTGAATCCCATTGTCATCTCACTCAGCTGAATCCCATTGTCACCCCACTCAGCTGAATCTCATTGTGACATCACTCAGCTGAATCTCATTGTGACATCACTCAGATGAATCTCATTGTGACATCACTCAGATGAATATCATTGTGTAGCTGTGTCAATAGCTGTTCCTTTATGTTATACAGGGCCACGGGTTGAACAAAGTCTACGGGGCATTTCAGAATATCAGCTGATTCGGATCTTGGTCTGCCAGCATCAAACTATTCATTGTGGGGCGTCATCAAAAGTGTCACTTTTCACTTTCTTACAACATCTGATGACACACTTCAAGTGATTGTTCCAACGGAGCAAAACCGTGTTTACTCAAAGATGATTCCAGCATAGCTACTCACTCACTTTGCAAGAGTTATTCCAACGCGTATGTCCTTGATGAAATAGTGACGTAAATAGGTCTTGAGAAGGGTTTTAACCTCTGATCTCCGTGGACATTGTTTGTATAGACAGTCGTTTTATAAATATCTCTTTCTTGAGCGATTCTCTCAAGCCTGGTCCCTTATAGATGACCCATCTCCCGTCTTCCTCGTCGTTTTTTCTGGAAAAGCCAACACATTCATTGTTAACTACAAGCAGTCGTTGTTTCGAAAATGAACTCCTTACTCTATAAGAGAGTGAGTGAGGGAGTTGGATTTAGCGCCGATTTGAACAGAAGTTCAGTTAGAACACGGTGTGTCAGCTTAATTAATGTGAAAAGCCCGAAACCCAGGAGAACGTATATAGTGCTGACAAACCTAGAATATGATCAAAACAAATCTGGGATTAAAATCCACACTCAAAGGTTTCTCTACTAAGGCCTTAGGTGACTGGGCCACCCGTGCCTCCATTAGACAGAAGAGTCTATTAAAACCACCTACATAGTCACCAAGCAGCATGGAACAAACAGGCTCTCTTCACTACGCTCCACTAGGCATCATAACGGTTAGGGCAGAATGGTAACCTGTAGGTGGTAGCTCACCTGTCTTGGGTTCGATTCTCCGTATGAATACAATTATGTATAATGTCTTTAGTGTTCCGTGCTGGGACATTTAAGCAATGACTGTATTTTGTTTCGGTTCATTGAGGTATGAATAGAAAAACCGATGTGCAAACTGTCTGAATCCGCGTAGGCGAAACCGAAACGAAATACACAGTTAATGCTTATAATTAAATTCGACAACGAAAACATGTTTTATCTACGATGGTTTAACCAGAAACAGTTGTCTTTATCAAAGCAGACAAAAATGACGAGATTGATAAACATTCCAGTTGTAGGAATACATACTGTGGCGTGACATGAATCAGGTGATTTTTTAATTTATGCACATAACTTGACACGCCCACAATGTCAGTAGCCAATCAACAGAGAATAAGATCAAAACATTGGACATTGTTCATTGGACCTGTCAATCAAGGCAAAAGGCGAGAAGAACTGAAAAAGTCAGACTGTAACGAAATGGAACAAATATGTCCGGGAGAAGCGGCTGTTTCAAATGACATGGTCAGTTACTACCAGATTCAAGCATTTGTTCCCTGAGAACGGGAAGACACAGATGGGAAAATGTTAGTCGGAAATGAAACCCGAAGACATGAAAGTTGTGGAACCGAGGCGAGCGGGACAAAAAAAAGGGAGCGAGCCTGCACGTTTGCTGTTTCATTCCTTCTCGGCCTTCGGTCTCAAAGGGTTGTTTGGACAATGAATATGCATGAATTTCGCTTAATGCCCTGTGCATGGCGATACACGTGAGTGGATAGGGAATTCCCCGACATTCTATGGTAATAAAAGTAGTCCGCTTCGGTGGGTGGGGCTTAATGTTTTACATTCATTGAGAAATGAATGCCAAACACGTGACCAACTCAGCTAATCAGAATGCAGAAATTTCAATGAACGCAAAGAAAATTTAATTATAATAAAATAATGTCAAAAGCGGCTTTTAATGATTCTCGTGAAATGACACACAAGGCTAACCTCGTCTTATTTTCATGCATATGTCCCAGTAGACTCTCAAAGCGTATCTGTTTGACGGCACAACTGACGTGGACGTGTTGTAATGGAGACGACAGACCTATTGTAGCTCACCTGCACAAGATGATGCACATCAGGCAGGGGATGCACATGAGGACAGCAAAGCCTGCGAGGGCGGCTGCGATCGCACCCTCCGTATCATATTGACGACCTGAAGAAGGTCCTGAGTAAGACAGTACTAGAAGGAAATAACAAGGAAGTGTTCACAGAAGTGGTCGTGGAGGTGCTGTGGATCATCACATCTGAAAACAGTAACTCGTTGGCCTGTGACGCTTATGTTGGTTATAACATGGGTGGCAGCTTAATGTGAGAGGTGTTGGTGAGCAGGGGTAACACTGCTCTTTACGGTATGTTAGTTATCTCACGGGATGACGGCTTAATGTGAGAGGTGTTGGTGAGCAGGGGTAACACTGCTCTTAACGGTATGTTAGTTATCTCACGGGATGACGGCTTAATGTGAGAGGTGTGGGTGAGCAGGGGTAACACTGCTCTTAACGGTATGTTAGTCATCTCACGGGATGACGGCTTAATGTGAGAGGGGTGGGTGAGCAGGGGTAACATTGCTCTTAACGGTATGTTGGTTATCTCACGGGATGACGGCTTAATGTGGTAGGAGTGAGTGAGTGAGTTCGGTTGACGCTCCTCTTAAAAATATTTTAGTTGTATCACGGGATGACAGCTTATGTGAGTTAGTGAGTTTGTTTGAATCGACGCTGCTCTCAACAATATTTCAGTGATATCACCGAATGACACTTGAATGTGAGAGAGTGAATGAGATGGGTTAACGCTGCTTTTAACAATGATTCACTTATATCACGGGATGGCGGCTTAATAAGGGAGGAGGTGTGTCATGACGGTTACCGCTTTGTTTAAACCTGCGAGAACGGGTGTGGTACTGACTGACAACTGCGAAACTGAAATTCGACCCTCGACCAGCGGTGCCTGTCACGGCTAAGGGAGGCAACTTAGTCACGGCGACTTAAACCACTCGAACTCACCGCAATATGTGCGAAAAAACACTATCATACAAATAATTTACAGCACGGATTCTCTGATTCGTGAAATGATTATCAAATAAATTAATCTTTCAAATAAGTGATTGATTCTATTACAATGGAAATTTCATCTGAGTGTCATCACACATATGTAAACAAAAGATTCCTGGTGCGACGTTAAGCAATAATAACTCACTCACTCACTCATAAATGGATGATACAAAGATAGCTTTTCATAACTAACATTCTATCCATCAAATACATGCACCTCATATAACTCACTAGGACGTTTGCTGTCGGGAGTTCGCGTGATAGTCGTCATTGATGCAGGAGTTGTTGTCGTAGTGGTAGTTGCAGTAGGCGTTGTTCTTGATGTCGTTGTAGTAGTGGTCGGGGTAGTTGTAGTCGGTTGCATTGTAGTTGTAGATGTTGTAGTTGAAGTAGGTTGCATTGTAGTTGTAGCCGTTGTAGTTGTAGTCGGTTGCATTGTAGTTGTAGGTGTAGTAGTTGTAGTCGGTTGCATTGTAGTTGTAGTCGTTGTAATTGTAGTCGGTTGCATGGTGGTGGTAGTCGTTGAAGTTGTAGTTGTTTGCATTGTAGTTGTAGATGTAGTAGTTGTAGTCGGCTGCGTTGTAGTTGTAGTCGTTTGCATGGTAGTTGTAGGTGTAGTTGTTGTCGGTTGCGTTGTAGTTGTAGTCGTTTGCATTGTAGTCGTAGATGCTGTTGTAGTCGCAGTTGTCGCTTCATGGGAAAATGATACATCTGTTAGGCACATTTTATGTATGTAGTTTATTTCTCCAAACATTTGCAAACATGCATATTTTTTCCCAACGAATGAATATCACATACCAGTAATGAAATAAATATTATTAAAATGAGAACCAGACGGGGTTTTAATAGTTGTGTTGGGACTGTATTAGTTGTGTATTTTAAAACTTTTCAGGATCCCTCAAACTGCCGATGGCATAGGTTGAAATCTTTGTGTTGTGGTGTTTTATTTTTCAATCCAAAAAATAATAATTAGGGGATAATAAGATATGAAGAAAAAATAATAAATATAATAATAACAGAAGTGTGAAGAAATAAACATAATTTGTTTTTACCTTCACCCCTCTGTCGCAGAAGGGATGAAAACACTCTGGGTAATCTAAGAGTGTTACAAGCATTATATACATGTATAACGTTTGTGATAATGAAAATGGGTAGCATACTTACCTGTTTCGTAAGTACAGTTCCACTGAAAGAACATCGTCTCAGTTTGATCAGTGAGGTTTGTCTCCACCAGGTAGATGTGACACGTGTTCGTGGTGGAGAGGAATTCTCCAGCTATACACAACTCCGTCGTGTTACAGAGAGTCTTGCAAGCACTCACGTCCGTCGTGTTCGCAGAGTCACTGTGCAGCATCTCAGATCCCTTCTGTCCTGCAATCTCCGTGAAGAAGCATGTCTGGCCTGACGAACAAGATGTTCACGAGCGAGTAACGCTGCTTTTAACACTGAAACCGCCCTATCACGATAACATTATCAAAAAATGAGTGAGTTGAATGTTACGCCGTTTTATCAAAATTCCAGCCATATCTCCTCGGGGGACACTAGAATTGGTGCCTATTTAGAGAATCGAACCAACGCTTTAACCGCTTGGCTTTTCCATCGTCCCTAAGAATCACAAACAATACCCGCCATGGTGCAGCACTGGTGGTGACACACCTTGTATAAGATGAGGTTAAATGGGGTTTAACGTCGCCTCCAAGATTGCTGCACGTTTATAGAGACGTACATGTACGTGCGTATGGCAAGCCGTTTTCACATTTATTACGGAATTACAGATATCTTCAATTGTTTTAAAGATATCGGTATTTTATTTAAAGATATCAATAATGTTTTTAAGATATCAAAAAATAATTAAAGATATCTTAAATTCATTTCTGATATCCATAATACAATTACTGATATCTTAAAATGTTACGGTGATATCAACAAACTAGTTTGTGATATCTCTAAATGTATTTAAGATATCATTAAACAATTACCATCCTACAGTACATAAATATACTAGAAATAAATTCAAGATATCTTAAATTCAATTCAAGATATCTTGAAATAAGTTATACATATCTACAAATGCATTAGAGATATCTTTAATTCAATTAGAGATATCTTTAATTCAATTAGAGATATCTTTAATTCAATTCAAGATATCATTAATTCTGACCGTTACTGATATCAAACATCCAATTAAAGATATAATTAATACTTTTGATGATATCTTTATATCAATTATTGATATCAGTTATCTAATTTAAGTAACATTATTAATGTAACATCTTTAATAATGGCAACAATTGAAGATATCAATAACTAATCATTGATATCTGTATTAAGTTTCAAGATATCAGGAATTGAATAATGACATCATAACAAAACATGACATTTTGATATCTTTAAATCATATTTTGATATCAATAATCGAATTTAAGATATCAGCAATTCTTTTCAAGATATCTTCAATTCCATTCAAGATATCTTCAATTCATTTCAAGATATCTTTAAAACAATTGAAGATATCTTAAATTTTATTGCAGATATCTACAATTATCTGCATTTAAGATATCTTCAATTCCATTCAAGATATCTTCAATTCCATTCAAGATATCTTCAATTCATTTCAAGATATCTTTAAAACAATTGAAGATATCTGTAATTCCGTAATAAATGTGAAAACGGCTTGCCATACGTGCGTGTGGATGTGGGGGCATAGGCGTGGCTGCTTGTACTAGTCCGGACAAATGCCGATTTATAGTGCTAGCACACTGAGATACTGACTCCTTAATTTGAGAGGTGTGGGTGAGCAGGGGCAACACTGCTCTTTACGGTATGTTAGTTATCTCACGGGGTGACGGCTTAATGTGAGAGGTGTTGGTGAGCAGGGGTAACACTGCTCTTTACGGTATGTTAGGTATCTCACGGGATGACGGCTTAATGTGAGAGGTGTTGGTGTGAAGGGGTAACACTGCTCTTTACGGTATGTTAGTTATCTCACGGGATGACGGTTTAATGTGAGAGGTGTGGGTGAGCAGGGGTAACACTGCTCTTTACGGTATGTTAGGTATCTCACGGGATGACGGCTTAATGTAGTAGGGGTGTGTGAGTGAGTTGGGTTGACGCTACCTTCATCAGTATTTTAATTATATCCCAGGATGATGACTAAATGTGGTAGGAGTGAGTGAGTGAGATGGGTTGACGCTCCTCTTAAAACTATTTTAGTTGTATCACGGGATGACAGCTTATGTGAGTTAGTGAGTTTGTTTGAATCGACGCTGCTCTCAACAATATTTCAGTGATATCACGGAATGACACTTGAATGTGAGAGAGTGAATGAGATGGGTTAACGCTGCTTTTAACAATGATTTACTTATATCACGGGATGGCGGCTTAATAAGGGAGGAGGTGTGTCAGGACGGTTACCGCTTTGTTTAAACCTGCGAGAACGGGTGTGGTACTGACTGACAACTGCGAAACTGAAATTCGACCCTCGACCAGCGGTGCCTATCACGGCTAAGGGAGGCAACTTAAACCACTGGAACTCACCGCAATATGTGCGAAAAAACACTATATCATACAAATAATTTACAGCACGGATTCTCTGATTCGTGAAATGATTATCAAATAAATTATTCTTTCAAATAAGTGATTGATTCTATTACAATGGAAATTTCATCTGAATATCATCACACATATGTAAACAAAAGATTCCTGGTGCGACGTTAAGCAATAATAACTCACTCACTCACTCACTCATAAATGGATGATACAAAGATAGCTTTTCATCACTAACATTCTATCCATCAAATACATGCACCTCATGTAACTCACTAGGACGTTTGCTGTCGGGAGTTCGCGTGATAGTCGTCATTGATGCAGGAGTTGTTGTCGTAGTGGTAGTTGCAGTAGGCGTTGTTCTTAATGTCGTTGTAGTAGTGGTCGGGGTAGTTGTAGTCGGTTGCATTGTAGTTGTAGATGTTGTAGTTGAAGTAGGTTGCATTGTAGTTGTAGCCGTTGTAGTTGTAGTCGGTTGCATTGTAGTTGTAGGTGTAGTTGTTGTCGGTTGCGTTGTAGTTGTAGTCGTTTGCATTGTAGTCGTAGATGCTGTTGTAGTCGCAGTTGTCGCTTCATGGGAAAATGATACATCTGTTAGGCACATTTTATGTATGTAGTTTATTTCTCCAAAGGTTTGCAAACATGCATATTTTTTCCCAACGAATGAATATCACATACCAGTAAAGAAATGAATACTATCAAAATTAGAACCAGACGTGGTTTTAATAGTTGTGTTGGGACTGTATTAGATGTGTATTTTAAAACGTTTCAGGATCCCTCAAACTGCCGATGGCATAGGTTGAAATCTTTGTGTTTTGGTCTTTTATTTTTCAATTCATACAAAAATAATTGGGGAATAATAATAAAGGAAGAAAAAATAATAAATATAATAATAACAGAAGTGTGAAGAAATAAACATAATTTGTTTTCACCTTCACCCCTCTGTCGCAGATGGGATGAAAACACTCTGGGTAATCTAAGAGTGTTACAAGCATTATATACATGTATAACGTTTGTGATAATGAAAATGGGTGGCATACTTACCTGTTTCGTAAGTACAGTTCCACTGAAAGAACACCGACTCAGTTTCACCAGTGAGAGTTGTCTCCACCAGGTAGATGTGACACGTGTTCGTGGTGGAGAGGAATTCTCCAGCTATACACAACTCCGTCGTGTTACAGAGAGTCTTGCAGGCACTCATGTCCGTCGTGTTCTCAGAGTCACTGTGCAGCATCTCAGATCCCTTCTGTCCTGCAATCTCCGTGAAGAAGCATGTCTGGCCTGACGAACAAGATGTTCACGAGCGAGTTACGCTGCTTTTAACACTCAAACCGCCCTATCACGATAACATTATGAAAAAATGAGTGAGTTGAATGTTACGCCGTTTTATCAAAATTCCAGCCAAATCTCCTCGGGGGACACTAGAATTGGTGCCTATTTAGAGAATCGAACCAACGCTTTAACCGCTTGGCTTTTCCATCGTCCCTAAGAATCACAAACAATACCCGCCATGGTGCAGCACTGGTGGTGACACACCTTGTATAAGATGAGGTTAAATGGGGTTTAACGTCGCCTCCAAGATTGCTGAACGTTTATAGAGACGTACATGTACGTGCGTGTGGGTGTGGGGGCATGGGTGTGGCTGCTTGTACTAGTCCGGACAAATGCCGATTTATAGTGCTAGCACACTGAGATACTGACTCCGAGCAGATCAGTACTTGTTTGAACCCCTTAATGCCGAGCGCCAGGCAGGATAACAACAAGTACCATCTTTTAACGTCTTTTGGTGTCGGGATCGAACCCACGACCTTCCGCTCTCATATCAACTTGACCACAGTGGCGGCCCCTTGATTCAGACCATTTAGTGGCAGATGCGTACCCAACCGGATTACAACGTAAACGTATTTTACTGTTGAACAATCATTATCTTATGTTCACATTAATACACGTGTGTGAGCATCATGCTCCGAACGAACACGCAAACATCCAAATTAACATGGACGTGCAAATTTTGAATCATGACGAGCACATGTCTTCATGACTATGTATTGAAAGTTGCATTATTTATTTTCAGAATAAATCACTTATTGAACATTATATGAAGCTACGTTTTCTTACCCAATTCTCGTGAAAAGGGGTCGAGTTGCCATCTTCGTTAGAAAATACGAGCCAGTCCATGGCTCAAGATAAGTTTTACTATAAGTTCCTAGTAGTGTTATCTACGTCTCCCAAGAAAAACAACTTGGGTTAAAGAATTTTTATGTACAAACATTAAAGTAACACTTTCCGAACACCACTAAAACGAGTTGTGGGACACACATAACATAACATGTATAAATCTCAAACACCTAACTGTTTAAATGAACAAAGTCTGCTTCTTATACATGTAAACACATCTAATAACTTTCATTATTACAGCAAACTACGTTTATAACGAACACGCTTATAAGGAACTGACGGATATAACGACATATGTTTTGATCTCGTCAATATGCTGTATATTTGCTGTATATATGCTTATAAAGAACTACGGTTATAACAAAATAAAATAAGTGGTCCGTTTGAGTTCGTTATAACCGTAGTCTACCGTATTTGTAAATTTTCCTCGTTTATTGAATTAACCACATCCCTTTGGCCAATCAGGGCCCTTTCATATAATTTCTTATAGGTATTCTTACCTGCCGGGCAAAAAAATGTACTTATGTTTGATGGTGGCTAAAATATAACAAGCAAGAAATGGTTATTCAATGGTGATGTATTTGATACGGGTATCATACCTGTGTTTTGGACCTTATGTTTTTGCAGTGTTTCGGCGACTGTTTTTCGCCTGGTAATGTTTGATAACGTTTGTAATTTTTGGGTACAATTCAATTTTCAAGGGTATACTTTCTTTTGCCCGATAGTTTACCATGGGAAGTGTGTAATTTGATAAAATATAAGACACCACAGTAACCTTGGTGATGAGGTTTAGAACCAAATCTGATTACCTTTGGACATCAAAAGCAGACTTGTAAAGTGGACGACTAGAAACACATATGGCCATCTGGCTCCCATGATGAGAGATGCTGAAACAGGAACAACGGAGATAGTAAACAACAGCGTTTAATTAGAAAGTTATGCTAGTATGCTAGCCAGTCACTTGTAACATATAGGAGTGGTAGAAGGCAACTCTGACTCATACCTGGATCTTAATAAGGGCCAGACAAAAATCAACTTTGAACAGGATATCTAAAGTGCAGATTCCACCACCTGAGGTCCGCCTGAGGCCACGGGTGTGAGCTGCAGGTATGTGCTACCGGTTACAATTGCACAACAGAGGGGCAGATATATACATCACGTCATGGTGTAATGTTATAGTTAAGTCGTGATCAACTGCATTGTGTCATTGAAATGGGATATCTTTTCAACAAAGGTGTGGAGTATGACAAGTTGCACTGAATAAACGAAGGAAATATGCACCATCAAACTCTCTCTCTCTCTCTCTCTCTCTCTCTCTCTCTCTCTCTCTCTCTCTCTCTCTCTCTCTCTCTCCATCTCTCAATGTCACAACATTTATACAATGAGTACCCTCTAGCACATATACCGCAGTGAATACTCACCGTGTTGTACACACACACCAAGTAGGTCACCTCCCTGCTACACTCCCACTATCCGCGTCCAGAGTCGTTCCATCCTTACTGACTTGGTGTGGGCAATGCAGACCAAAACAAAGTATCGAAAGTAGCCACCTCCGACCACAGCCGTCAGAACCGTCACCCCAAACCACCCGTTCATGCCGTACTCTAGTTGATAGACTGATAGGAGGGACCGAATTACACCAGGTGCCCGCCCTTTCACAACCCATGCATGACTGGAGTAAAAGAGTGACATACCTTTCACTTTGTCTCATTATGCCCCATTGTGTGTTCGCGCGTCGACTTGCTCTGAGGAAAATGCATATTATTATGCATGGTGAAAACATCACCGCCTTGGAGATCAGTAAGGTAATTATAAATACTAAGAATATGGTTTAAGTTTGATTTGGCATGTAAACAATGTGAAGAAGGTTAAAGTTCAGCACGATTGTTTGTGTCTAAACAGAGACAGGAAAAAATTAGACGGGAATATTGACGAATGAAGACATATTTCTGAGTATTGGCTACTTCAACTGTCATGTTCAACTGACTGCAAATAATAGAAGGTCCTCTATTAATTTTCTACTGGTCACGGACAAAAGACCAGTGTGTGATTTTGACCCTGACACCATTTAATTGTGTGCGTGTCACTGCTTGTAAATCCTCCTGCAGTATGACGTGACACAGAGGTTGTGGCTATATTAGTCATCTAGATGATACTGTATAAGTTAGACAGGGTGTGTCGGGTTTACGAGGGTGTTCATTGTCGTACCCCTGCTGCAACTAGTGAGATGGGGGTGGGGCATTGTCACCGCGCAGTATTACAGATACAACATATACCTCCATGTCAGAATGATGAGATCTGACTGGTCCACGTGATCTTGATAAAATACGATGTATCCCGCCTTGGAGGGGAATAGAATTCTCAGTGGTGGAATAAATCCGTCCCTTATACCCCGCCACAAGCAAGGCAAGCTGCACGTGGATTTCTGAGAGTAAATCCCTCATAATATAGTCGTACAGAAAAAAATCACACCCCTCTATTTTCATAGAGACAAGGAGTGACACCCGCCATCTTGGTTCTTATTTCGCACTCGGTTCGAACCACAGCTCGATATGCATGAAATATGAATGTCACTTATTTCAACCTATGGGCACCTGCTAAACAAACCATAGGCTATACAATCATGCTCATCTGTGGTCACCTTACCTCGTGTTTATTTTAAACAACCATCAAATGTCAAAAAGGTGGCCGGAAATAATGGCTCTTCACGGGTTTGAACTCGGCAAACGTTTCTGATTGGTTAAAATGTGTATCATACTATTAGCACATGGTGAAGGGAGGGAAATTCAAGACCGTCAATGATAATCTGCTTCAAAATGTTTAATTATGCTGTAGATTTCCGTGTCAACCCTAACATTTTGCAAGCAGGCCTACCATTGACGGTTTTGAATTTAGGTTTAGCCGTGGTTTTGGTTACATCTAGAACCACCAACAAGTTGCTTGATTTCAAACATTCATGAACGAAGGTGTATTGATATCGATAATCAGACATACTCAGACTTCTTCAGACCCGGATAGTGAATGGGTCTTCAGCAAACTCATGCTTGCCGTAAGAGGCGACTATGCCCGTCTTAGGAGGCGACCAACGGGACCGGGTGGTCAGGCTGCATATAATCGTATCGAAATTGCGTGGATCTATGCTCATGATGACAATCACTAAATTGTCTGACCCAGACTCGATTTTTTTACAGACCGACATCATATAGCTGGAATATTACTGAGAGTGGCGTTAAACAACAAACAAAAGAAACAGACAAAAACTATTCTATATGTAATTAAAATAATTAACATTTTTGAAGAAAATTTAGCCTTTTGTAAGTGTTAATGTCTTTAGAAATATTTTAACACAGTTACGTTGTTCACATTATGCCCTGATGGAAGAAGGGTACATATTCCTAGATGTGAAGATATCTTCTATTATGTATAGTTCTTGGAAAACCATTTCTGTTCTTTATGTCCGTTTTACTCTGACCTGAGACAGCACTGTTTGCCTCAAAATTTTAGGAACTAACCATCTCGTGACTTGTGTCGCCAGTATTTCAATCCTAATGATAAGTCCAACATCAATGGACAAGCCAAATTCTTTTTACTCGCACTCAAAATGTGTAATACGTTCCTTGAGATAATATATAGTATCATATCATATCAGTACATGGCTGAACAACACTCCGTGTGGCGCCAGTTGTAATTTGTATATGATGACACTGTATAATAGGCTGAATATATACTCATTTACCCTATCCATTTAATCGTCTCTTAGGATGCTGGTGACGAATATTCTTACCCTGTGGTTTATGATGACGCACAACTATTATGTTAAAAGAATATGCTAACATAGCGTTCTTTCAGCAAACCCTTTTGTGTTTCGTGGATTTTTATAATCATCTCTCAACTCATCTGTTTAAAACGCTACGGTCGTTTCATTAATTACTAAACCAGTGTCAAGGGATGGTGGCTGCACCGTCTTGGTTCATTGATAAACAGCGCGTCAACTGGATACACAAATATAGCAGCAACTGTATACAACGATAATGACAAACGGAATTTCGTCTTGTCATCTTGGGGTTTAAATCTAAATTTAAATAAAGCGGAAGGCTGAATATTAATGTGCAATACACTCGCTTGCAATGCTTTCTTTGCCGAACATGGTGCTTATATAGTGGGAGAATTCTGCTCTGACGAATATAATTGTAACTTGAACAAGACTGAAACAGAAGACATAACAGAAGGTGCTGGTTGAACGTTCAATAAAAAGAAGTGCACTATGGGTAAAAATATTGAAGAGCAACTAAAGCCTAAAATAGTACGAAAGCCAAATGTGTCATTTTGCAAGAACTAAAGGAAGATCTATGCATTAACAAAGGTATGGAGTCTGACTCATCTGACTACATAAATGAAGGCAGTACATTATTGCCCCGCCCTTCTCCCTCCATCCCTCCCTCTCTGCATTCTGTGTCATTGACTGTTATATCTTTTCAACAAAGGTATGGAGTATGGCTAGTTGCACTGCATATACGAAGGCAATATATGCACATAGAGTTCACCCCTCCTCTCTCTCGTCCTTAGATTACCTTTAAGATTAAGTTAACTGGTCCGGTCTAGTCACCTTGTGTTAATTTCTATACCTGCAGAAAGATGTCCATTGATGATCACTGATCTGCCCAGTTTATCCCAGCGATAAGGGCGGGTTTCATTTTATTTTTATAAATAAAATATAAATGTAAATGAATATAGCATGTTGGTTAAATCCCGGTACGTAACATGCACAATGTTAATAGAAACTCTGTACCGTACAAACTCAACCCTGCATTGCGCATTGTCCTGGAGTGTTGTTGAGCATTAGGAATACTTAAAATATGGGCTATCCAGGACATGGTAGATGCACATTCGGACCCCGGTATCTCAGAGTCGTGTTGTACCTTCGCGATATCCGTATGTTCGAGATAGCGAGGTGTGGACTGCCAGACAGATCAAGTAACATTGTTATAGATCCACACTGTAAATGTTTAGAATGTAAAGACAGACAAGACATGTTAAGAACTAAACAGGATTACATCTAAACATGTAAATCCTAAACGGAATACACATTTGGTGTGTTCAATCTATCTATCACACACACACACACACGCACACACACACGCACACGCACACACACACACACACACACACACACACACACAAACACAAACACAAATAAGAACGTTGTGAGTACATTTATCATTAAATAATAAAAACATACAAAGCACCCCTTTCCAAATTACCTACAATGAATTTCAAGAGGGAATACACATTTCGACCCTAAACACGTTTAGATGTTTAACACAACCCTAAAGATGTTAAGACCTAAACATGTCAAAACTATAAAACAAGGAACGTGTTAAAGTTTATCGGTTGCAAACACGATAGATTAAATACACAACACGTGTATAGCAAATTGAAAATTTAATGTATTTTGCAGGCAATGATCAATAATAGCTATGACAAAATATATACGGTGCATATATGCATGTTGGATTGACCAATGTGGGCAATGGACAATCTTGTAAACCCAATTCCTCACTGCCAACCTAGTCAGGTTCAAAGAAAATGAGTTTCGCAATACTTAACAACACAATAGGCATTCCACAGATTCTCTGTTTGAATACGTGCTCAAATTATGATGTACAAAAACGTATAATATATGTGACACATATACACTGTATATCATAATATAATCCGGATTGTCTGAAAATTCATATTGGTTAAACAACTGATTCAAATTGCATTGTATATTTACAGAGATGTTAGATGATTATGTGAGGAAAGTTATCAGATATATCTAGGTAAAATGTTTATTTTCACTTCTCAAAAATGTTTATGTGGCAAATGCCAACTTCGAGTTAAAAGTATAAAATCGCTGTGCTAAAGTTAAAGTTGAGACGGAGTACAAGGTTCGAGAATGTAATCTTATCTCCAGTTCGAGATAAGTGGTCACAAGCATATACATGTACAGTAAACTACGGTTATAACGAACTCAAAGGGACCACTAATTTTAGTTCGCTATAACCCTTGTTCGTTATAAGCATTGATAGATATTCTTTATTTCCTCCAGATATTGAAGATACATATCATATATGATATTATGTATAATAACAGAGCTGTACAGTAGTACAATTGAACAATATTATTAGAAATGATAACTACAAAATGCATGACAATCAAGCATTCTTATAACTGTTTTGTAACAGATACAGCCATTTCCTACAATATCTTGACACAAGAACCATAAGGTCACCCCATAGACTTTGAGATAAAGAGCTAACACACTCAGGCATACAGCCAAGTAGTACAGACAGGATCATATCATCGTCCTCACTACATAGTCTTGCAAATGTAGAGACATCTATCACATCACAAATGATTTCAAATAGTTCATTTCTGTCATTCATATTCAATGTACAATACAAAAAGACATGCTTAATAATATCATGAGCTACAATTCTACATCGACATTCCCTAGATTCTATATTTAGGCATCCCAGCCGTACAAGATGAGACAGGTTTGGGAACTGTTCAGGACGTTCAAATGCAAATAGCCAGAGTCTGTGTTCTTTATCATTACGTAGCGAAACATATCTATTTAAGTTAAGTCTAGATAGCAGCTTAGAGCATACAGCTTCCTGGTCTGCAAAAATAATCCTTTCCTTAACAATATCAGACCATGCCTTTTTACTTGGGAAGCTACATTTAATTAGATAATCTTCTATTTCTGCATTAAGATTGTATTTTTTGACAAGTCTAAGCATGTTATATACAGGTGACAAAGCACATCGTTTTCTGAAGTTATCCAACGCTATTTCGTATCTAAACTGCCCAAGGCGAGTAATGAATACCTTTTTAAAAACATAGCTGTAACTGGATCGGCATAGTTTTCCAAGTAGTAACAGTGACTGTTTGTCAATAAAGGATTGGAGAGATATCAAGCCCATGTTGTCCACAGCAACAGTACCTGTATTTTTCTACTGAAATAACGTTGAATAATTTCCAGCATATCATATTCTTTGAGGGTTAATAGTCCCCAGACATTACATCCATAGAGTCCGCATGGGATGCACACGTCTCCCTGTCATGTCCCAGACGTGTTCAACGGGGGAAGGCGTGGGCTCGTTGCTGCATTTCTGGCCATGGATGTTATGCTGGTGGATGTGAGAATTGACGATTCGTGCACGTTTTGCACGGTTTGTTGTCCTAAAAGGAAAAACGTCGACCCACACGTCTTGCCTTCTAATGTTCCGTCCCGAAAGCGTACTCCAGTAACCTGATCAAAGGCAATTGGATTTGCCTTTTGACCTCGATTTCGTAGAGTCTGGTTTTGAATCAATCGATCCTGTATTGTCGTTAATCGATGACGTCCTGAAATTGGTCAATCGTCATCATTTTGTGTTTGTTGGTACCTGTTTAATAGTCTGCTAATCACAGACTGTGAAATATTGAACGTATTGGCCACTACTGTTACACATGTGCCGGAAGATGCACGACTACTTATCAGTAAGTGATGGAATATATACGGTAGAGTTATCTCCCTTTTACTTGTTATCGTCAAGCTCCTTCCCAGCGCGTGACACCTTCGTTACACTCTCGGTAACATCGCTGCCCCCAGTGTGGGCGCGGCCATTACAAGAATCTTTAAATTTGCCCTTTAACCCCAAATGTAGTAACGTTTATACATTTGTTTATGTCTTTGGGAATGTGATCACAGTTAATTTTCATTAACGACTGACCATATTTCCCAAATGAATTTACCCTTTTGTTTCAAGCACGTTTCACGTGAAACAATGTTTCAAGCACGTGCAGGTGCACCATTACATTTACGACTGAGTGCCTTGTACAATAAACACAGAAATACGGAAGTCTTGTACAATAAACACAGAAATACGGACGTCTTGAACAATAAACACAGAAATACGGAAGTCATGTGCAATAAACACAGAAATACGGAAGTCTTGTACAATAAACACAGAAATACGGAAGTCTTATACAATAAACACAGAAATACGGAAGTCTTGTACAATAAACACAGAAATACGGAAGTCTTGTACAATAAACACAGAAATACGGAAGTCTTGTACAATAAACACAGAAATACGGAAGTCTTGTACAATAAACACGGAAATACGGAAGTCTTGTACAATAAACACAGAAATACGGGAAAATATATTAAGAAGGAAGCATTTGTAGGATGTCAATTAAAAGAATCTATGCTAACAAAATATGTCACAGCATTGTGGTTAACATGGTGTTTATGAATGTATCATCAATACATGTATAAAGTATACATGAATGCCATTATCACATCGCTCAGCTGAATCCCATTGTGACATCACTCAGCTGAATCCCATTGTCATCTCACTCAGCTGAATGACACTCCAGTACTAAAGCTGACATGTTTCTGTCATAAGGTGCATTATTAATGTATTGTACATTAAGGATCCCAAGAATGTTATTTACACTAACCTGGTGTTAGTGAGCGGCTTATTGGTAGGTACAAGAAGTCAGATGACCTTCAATAGCTGTGCCAATACCTGTACCAAGAACTCTTCCCTTATGTTATACAGGGCCACGGGTGGCGCTCCAGACTTGGCTCACAAGGTCTGCGGGTCAGTCGGAATATCAGCTGATTCGGATCTTGTTCTGCCAGCACCAAACTATTCATTGTGGGGCGTCATCAAAAGTGTCACTTTTCACTTTCTTCCAACATCTGATGACACACTTCAAGTGATAGTTCCAGTGGAGCAAAAGATGATTCCAGCATAGCTAAACATTCACTCACTCAATGACCCATCTCCCGTTGTCTTCCCTGCCGTCTTGACTTTCTGGAAAAGCCAACACATTCATATTTAAACTACAAGCAGTTGTTGTTTTGTTTCGAAAATGAACTTCTCACTCTATAGAAGAGAGCTGGATTAAGCGCCGATTTGAACTGACGTTCAGTTAAATCACGGCGTGACATCTTAATCTGGGTGAAAAGCCCAAAACCCATGAGTATGGTGCTGACAAACCTAGAAATATGATCAGAGCGGAACTGGGATTAAAACCCATGACCAAAGGCTTCTCTACTTATTCCTTAGGTGACTGGACCACCTATGCCCCATTTTGACAGAAGAGTCTTTTAAAACCACCTTCATAGTCACCAAGCAGCATGGAACAAACACGCTCTCTTCACTACGTTCCACTATGCATCATAACGGTAAGGGAAAAATGGTAACCTGTAGGTTTAGCTCACCTATCGAAGTCCTGGGTTCGATTCTCCGTATGAGTACCATTATGTATAATGTCCGTCTATAACAAAATAATGTCAAAAGCGGCTTTTAATGATTCTCGTAAACTCACACGTCTTATTTTTATGCACATGCCCCTGTAGACTGGCTCTCAAATCGTGTCTGTTTGACGGCACAATTTACGTGGACGTTTTGTAATGGAAATGACAGATGGTATCTGGACCTACTGTAGCTCACCTGGACAAGATGATGTACATCAGGATGGGGATACAGAGGAGGACGGCAAAGCTTGCGACGGCGGATGCTATCGCACCCTCCGTACGATATTGAGGACCTGAAGAAGAAGAGAGTAGAAGGCAATAAAAAGTGTTCCCAGAAGAGTGAGTGAGTTGCGTTTAACGCGGCTTTTAACAGTATTCCATTTATATCACGGCGTGTCCGCTTAATGTTGGAGGAAAGCCCGAAGTGATGCAGGTCTCAGACGTTTACCATTTCGGTAAAACCCAAAAGGACGAGTGTGGTGCTGACAAACCTAGAAACATACTTGGGCGAACCGGGATTCGAACCTACAAACACAGGGGAAGCAACTCTGCACAGCGAATCGCGCCGCCTTAGACAACTGGGCCACCCGTGCCCCCTTGTTTACAGAAGTGGTCGTGGAGGTGTTGTGGAACAACACATCAGTGACTCGTGAGCCTGTTGTTTTGACGTTTGTGTTGGTAATAACACAGATTGCAGTTTAATGTCAGAGGAGTTAGTGAGTTGGGTTGTCGCTGCCCTCATCAGTATGGTAGTTATCTCACGGGATGACGGCTTAATGTTGTAGAAGTGAGTGAGTTGGGTTGATGCAACCTTAAGCTTCACCAGTATTTTAGTTATATCACGGGATGACGGATTTATGTCGTAGAAGTGAATGGGTGATTTGGGTTGACGCTGCTTTCAACAATATTTTAGTTATATCACGGGATGATAGCTTAATGTGAGCGAGTGAATGAGTGAGTGATTTGGGTTGACGCTGCTCTCAACAGTAGTTTAGATATATCACGCTATGACAGCTTAATACGGTAGGGGTGAGTGAATGAGATGGGTTGATGCTGCTCTCAACAATATTTTACTTATTCCACGGATGATGGCTTAATTAAGGAGGAGGTGTGTCAGGACGGTTAACACTTTCGTGAAACCTGCGAGAAGTGGTGTGGTACTGACTGACAACTGCGAAACTGAAATTCGACCCTCGACCAGCGGTGCCTGTCACGGCTAAGGGAGGTAACTTAGTCGCGGCGACTTAAACCACTGGAACTCACCGCAATATGTGGGAAAAACACTATCATACAAATAATTTACAGCACGGATTCTCTGATTCGTGAAATGATTATTAAATAAATTAATCTTTCAAATAAGTGATTGATTCTATTACAATGGAAATTTCATCTGAGTGTCATCACACATATGTAAACAAAAGATTCCTGGTGCGACGTTAAGCAATAATCACTCACTCACTCACTCATAAATGGATGATACAAAGATAGCTTTTCATCAGTAACATTCTATCCATCAAATACATGCACCTCATATAACTCACTAGAACGTTTCCTGTCGAGAGTTGGCGTGATAGTCGTCATTGATGCAGGAGTTGTTGTCGTAGTGGTAGTTGCAGTAGGCGTTGTTCTTGATGTCGTTGTAGAAGTGGTCGGGGTAGTTGTAGTCGGTTGCATTGTAGTTGTAGCCGTTGTAGTTGTAGTCGGTTGCATTGTAGTTGTAGCCGTTGTAGTTGTAGTCGGTTGCATTGTAGTTGTAGGTGTAGTAGTTGTAGTCGGTTGCATTGTAGTTGTAGTCGTTGTAATTGTAGTCGGTTGCATGGTGGTGGTAGTCGTTGCAGTTGTAGTTGTTTGCATTGTAGTTGTAGATGTAGTAGTTGTAGTCGGCTGCGTTGTAGTTGTAGTCGTTTGCATGGTAGTTGTAGGTGTAGTTGTTGTCGGTTGCGTTGTAGTTGTAGTCGTTTGCATTGTAGTCGTAGATGCTGTTGTAGTCGCAGTTGTCGCTTCATGGGAAAATGATACATCTGTTAGGCACATTTTATGTATGTAGTTTATTTCTCCAAACATTTGCAAACATGCATATTTTTTCACAACGAATGAATATCACATACCAGTAATGAAATGAATATTATTAAAATTAGAACCAGACGTGGTTTTAATAGTTGTGTTGGGACTGTATTAGAGGTGTATTTTAAAACGTTTCAGGATCCCTTAAACTGCCGATGGCATAGGTTGAAATCTTTGTGTTTTGGTCTTTTATTTTTCAATTCATACAAAAATAATTGGGGAATAATAATAAAAGAAGAAAAAATAATAAATAAAATAATAACAGAAGTGTGAAGAAATAAACATAATTTGTTTTCACCTTCACCCCTCTGTCGCAGATGGGATGAAAACACTCTGGGTAATCTAAGAGTGTTACAAGCATTATATACATGTATAACGTTTGTGATAATGAAAATGGGTGGCATACTTACCTGTTTCGTAAGTACAGTTCCACTGAAAGAACATCGTCTCAGTTTGACCAGTGAGAGTTGTCTCCACCAGGTAGATGTGACACGTGTTCGTGGTGGAGAGGAATTCTCCCGCTATACACAACTCCGTCGTGTTACAGAGAGTCTTGCAAGCACTCACGTCCGTCGTGTTCGCAGAGTCACTGTGCAGCATCTCAGATCCCTTCTGTCTTGCAATCTCCGTGAAGAAGCATGTCTGGCCTGACGAACAAGATGTTCACGAGCGAGTTACGCTGCTTTTAACACTCAAACCGCCCTATCACGATAACATTATGAAAAAATGAATGAGTTGAATGTTACGCCGTTTTATCAAAATTCCAGCCATATCTCCTCGGGGGACACTAGAATTGGTGCCTATTTAGAGAATCGAACCAACGCTTTAACCGCTTGGCATTCCATCGTCCCTAAGAATCACAAACAATACCCGCCATGGTGCAGCACTGGTGGTGACACACCTTGTATAAGATGAGGTTAAATGGGGTTTAACGTCGCCTCCAAGATTGCTGCACGTTTATAGAGACGTACATGTACGTGCGTGTGGGTGTGGGGGCATGGGTGTGGCTGCTTGTACTAGTCCGGACAAATGCCGATTTATAGTGCTAGCACACCGAGACACTGACTCCGAGCCGATCAGAGTCAGTGTGAGCCCCTTAATGCCGAGCGCCAGGCAGGATAACAACAAGTGACATCTTTTAACGTCTTTTGGTGTCGGGATCGAACCCACGACCTTCCTCTCTCATATCAACTTGACCACAGAGGAGGCCCCTTGATTCAGACCATTTAGTGGCAGATGCGTACCCAACCGGATTACAACGTAAACGTAGTTTACTTTTGAACAATCATTATCTTATGTTCACATTAAAACACGTGTGTGAGCATCATGCTCCGAACGAACACGCAAACATCCAAATTAACATGGACGTGCAAATTTTGAATCATGACGAGCACATGTCTTCATGACAATGTATTGAAAGTTGCATTATTTATTTAACACGTCCCATTTTAATTCTAGAAACCCAAAAGTCCAGAAACTCTACGGTCTTTGTCGACTCTCGGTCAAAGGTATTTACAAAATGCTGTTTTCATGGGAACATACCAAGGAAGAAAAAATGAAAAAAAAATTGTTCAAAAACTCAATATTTACACTATCTCGCCCATGCCCATGGGCCTGCCCATGGGTGAAGACTGGCCCATGGGTAGGCCCATGGGCGAGAATATGTTCCTTTACTCAAAACTCATGTTTTTGTTTCGCAAATACATTAAATGTATTTATTCAAGTATCATGACACAAAACTTAACTCATTTTAACTTAATTCAACTATTTTACAGCGATATTGAAATATTTCGCCCATGGGCGAGAAAAAGGTTTGGCCCATGGGCGAGAATATGTTCCTTTACTTAAACTCATGTTTTTGTTTCGCAAATACATTAAATGTATTCATTCAAATATCGTGACACAAAATTTAACTCATTTTAACTTAATTCAACTATTTTATAGCGATATTGAAATACTTCGCCCATGGGCGAGAAAAAGGTTTGGCCCATGGGCGAGAATATGTTCCTTTACTTAAAACTCATGTTTTTGTTTCGCAAATACATTAAATGTATTCATTCAAGTATCAAGACACAAAATTTAACTCATTTTAACTTAATTCAACGATTTTATAGCGATATTGAAATATTTCGCCCATGGGCTAGAATATTTTCCTTTACTCAAAACTCATGTTTTTGTTTCGCAAATACATGCAGGTGTTCTTACCATTTTCATGGCACATAATGTAACTCAATTTTACTTAATTCAACTATGTTATAGCGTTATTGAAATATTTCACCCATGGGCGAGAAAAGGTTTGGCCCATGGGCAGGCGCATGGGCGAGAATATTTCCCTTTGCTCAAAACTTGTGTTTTAGTGTCGCATATACATAGTTCTTTAGAAGTTTCATGTTACATAATTTAACAAATTTTAACTTAATTCAACTATTTTACGGCGTTATTAAAATGTTTTCGTCAGTCCCTTTAAAGCATCAACTAACTGTGTGCAAAGTATACAGTATCATGTGAAATATACTTTATATTATATCTTTACATTACTATTTAAAAAGGGCATTTGGTTGGATGTTTCCTTTATAGAAGTTCTACAAATTTCACCTGTTTTACATATTGTAGCGATCTTTAATGAATCCGGCCTTACCTCTCAAAACGTTTAGACAGTTTATGATACGAATTCATGTGCGTGTACTCCAATTCATTGGAGTTATTTTCCACAACATTAAAGTTTAGTTAGTTTCTATTTCATTTCCCATTTCATGTCCCGTTTATACATCACACTGGGCAATTACGTGGCACTAGGTATGCAATATACAGTTACGCGTGCGCGTATTTTAATGGAAAAAACTATTCGTCTTTTATTGCATAACGTTTGGCTGAATATCTTACATTCTAACGAAATCTCGAAATAATTATTTAATTACATGCGGTGTCCAACTGACCAGTGGGAATTATGTTTCAATGCGATTGAGGAAAACTTGAGTGAATATTGTGACACTAAAGCAACTTTTAACTGCATTGTCACTTTTGGTATGAAAATGGTAATAGTTAAGAAAAAAGCAACAGCCTTCTTATGATAATTCTCATATTCTCATTAGTACGTTGTGTCTAATTACAGTGTCGGCCTTATTTACAGGTGATTCTACAATACTTGATCTCGGTCAATTACAATCTGCCCCACCACACGTGAATAAACAGTTATGCAGGTGTTGCTGTGGGCAAATATCTAGCCTGTACATGTATATTTTTTTGTGGATACATGTATTACATATTTTCGTTGATATGTGGATATATTAAGCACAAAGACACAAAAAGCTTATGAAAGATGAATTAGTGCCTTGATATATATATTCAACGAGAACGAATCTTGTATTTTCTCCGCGATCCTGATGTGTATCATCGTTTAATGGGTCATTCATTAAAAGTATGTTGTGAGGCGATATCAAAGGAGCCGCTCTAGCTATTACACAGTGTCGTCCGTTTCGCGTGAACTACCACCCCACCCTGTCAGTAAGAGTTATGTAATCGGTACACAAATATATTTGATGCGATGTCAGTGTGTTGTAGACTGTCGTAGGGTACACATATCTATTTCAAGTTTTAGTACTCATACACTTTCTCTTTTTGTGTTGATATAATTTCTATTTTCGTACATGATATGATTTCATTTTTATCTTTGGCTGCTATGTTTTTATATGTTCGAGTAGCTGTCTGTCCCTCATAAATTGACATAGTTCTGCCTCGCTATTGCATCTCTTGACTACAGGAGATTTACAGCATATAGCGGATCTAACTGCAATTCTTGTTTTAACCAAGCGGATTTGACATTCCAGTAACTGGATTCAGGTTGATTGCAAGATATGCATACCTCGTCATAGTGATTGTTGTGAATTCCTCAAAATTCTGTTTGTTAGTTGTGTAACGCCGCACTTAGAAATATTTCAGCTGTATGATGGCTTTCTGTAAATAATCGAGTCTGGGCCAGACAATCCAGTGATTGAAATCATGTGCATCGATCCACGCAATTGGGATACGATGACATGCATCAATCAACCAAGTCAGGAGCCCGACCACCCGATCCCGGTAGTCGCCTCTTACGACAAGCGCTGTCGCCCTTTTACGCCAAGAATGGGTTGTTGAAGATCTTCACGGGTCCATTGACGCAGGGATTTGTGTAAAGTCATTCAGACAGCATACAATGCCAACTCAAAAATTATACTCAATGTCTCCGCAAAGTAATATAGTACGGAACTTAGAGTACATATGAGATTATACTCAGGTTAGGGAGATGTTTAATCCATAGAACGTGTTATTATTCTACCTAACAATGTATTTAATGAGATGAATACAAAACAAACTCAACGGCTAAAAGGTTTCATTGAAAAAACTACCCCTGGTCTTGCCTAATAAAACAACTGCAACCCGACACAGATTAAACGCAACTTACAAACACAATCATAATCTGGTTAATCTGTATCACTCAACAAGTTGGCGCCGCTTATTCTGCACACAGTATGACAGTATTGGGCAGCTCAGTAATTAGGAGGTAAAACCAGGCAGGTACACTGGTCACACTTGACTGGTCTGTCTGATGATTAGGTCGTCTGTCAATTGGGAGTGAACCATAGCAAGTCCTATCTGCGAAACTATTTGCTCCTTTTATGGGACCGATTAGTTTTATGACCAAGGGCCTCGGCACAAGCGTGGTGATGGAAGACAAGTTATACATGTACATCCGATATGGTGACTGTTTTTCGCTATTCATATTCTAAATACATCATAATACCACAACATTTTAGTACTCCTTGAAACTTTACAATCACTTCAATATCTACAATAAATTGAACGAGAACAAATGATATATTGCAGATTATTAAATCATTGTATCTATTAACAGCCGCTACGTTTGTATCGTTTGCATTGTACAAAGAAATATTTTGTCTGTCCTTTTGCAGATTTAGCCTCAAAATGTGCTCATTCGAATTAGGAACGAAAATAATTGCTTATCATGAGTATATATGATACACTGTAGATTTATTCACTTAAAAGTCGTATACGACCTTCGCGAGCGAGTTGAATGATCCAGGTTAATTGGAACGAAGTCTAGAAAGGGTTATAAGGTTTGTATTTGGTAATGTGTAGGTTTGCTAAATATGATTTTTTTAATTCCTTTTATTTCAATATGTTAAAACATATTTATGCGCTTAAAAACAGAGCTGACTTGATGGGAGATATGGCGTTAGCCACCTGAGGTTGTCTGTTGGACACGGTTTAACCTTACTGTGTCCTCACCCTGGTTGTTGTTACCGTTGTTATAAGGGATTAGGAGCTACTGCATGTTTGGTTTTGGGTTACAGTCTGTCTCACAAAAGGGGACATGTGCAGGTGAACGCTGTTCAATTAGTATCTGAAATGCCCAAAAATGTGAACTCCAAACAATAATAACCTGAGACGTAATTCAAACTCCTTCCACACTGACACCGCATCAAATATATTTGTGTACCGATTACATAACTATTTTTGACAGGGTGGGATGGTAGTTCACCGGACGACACTGTGTATATTGGGCGGCTCCTTAGATATCTCCTCCAAACATACTTATTTTGAATGACCCCATTAAACGATGATACACATCTCGATGAATATTTCAAGGCACTAATTCATCTTTCATAAACATTTTTTTGTCTTTGTGCTTAATATATCCACATATCAACGACAATTTGTAAAACATGTATCCTCAAAATAAATATACATTTTCAGGCTAGGTATTTGCCCACAGCAACACCTGCATAACTGTTTATTCACGCGTGGTGTGGTAGATCGTAATTAACCGAGAGCAGGTATTGTAGAATCACCTGTAAATAAGGCCGACACTATAATTAGATACAACGTCCTAATGAGAATATGAGAATTATCATAAGAAGGCTGTTGTTTTTTTCTGAACTGTTACCATTTTCATACCAAAAGTGACAATGCAGTTAAAAGTTGCTTTAGTGTTATAATATTCACTCAAGTTTTCCTCAATCGCCTGTAAACATAATTCCCATTGGTCAGTTCGACACCGCATAAAATTATATAATTATTTCGAGATTTCGTTAGAATGTGAGATATTCAGCCAGACGTTATGCAATAAAAGACGAATCGTTTTTTGTTGCCATTAAAATACGCGCACGTGTACCTGTATATTGCATACTTAGTGTCACTTACTTTCCCAGTGTGATGTTTCAACGAGACATAAAATGGGAAATGAAAAAGAAACTAACTAAACTTTAATGTGTTGGAAAATGTCGCCAATGAATTGGCGTATCGTTGCAATATGTAAAAAAGGTGTAATTTGTAAAACTTCTGTAAAGGAAACATCCAACCAAAGGCCCTTTTTAAATAGTAATGTAATGATATAATATAAAGTATATTTCACATGATACAATATACTCTGTACACAATTATTTAATTATTTAAAGGGACTGACGAAAACATAGGCGAAATATTTTAATAGTTGAATTAAGGTAAAATGAGTTGAATCATGTGTCATGCTTATAAAACCTTTATGAATTTGCGAAACTAAAACTGTTGAGCAAAGGAACATATTCTCGCCCATGGGCCAAACCTTTTTCTCGTCAATGGGCGAAATATTTCAATATCGCTATAAAATAGTTGAAGTAAGTTAAAATGAGTTAAATTTTGTGTCACGAAACTTGAATGACTACATTTAATGTATTTGCGAAACAAAAACATGAGTTTTGAGTAAAGGAACATATTCTCGCCCATGGGCCAAACCTTTTTCTCGCCCATGGGCGAAATATTTCAATATCGCTATAAAATAGTTCAATTAAGTTAAAATGAGTTAAATTTTGTGTCATGATACTTGAATGACTACATTTAATGTATTTGCGAAACAAAAACATGAGTTTTAAGTAAAGGAACATATTCTCGCCCATGGGCCAGTCTTCGCCCATTGGCAGGCCCATGAGCGAGATAGTGTAAATATTGAGTTTTTGAACAATTTTTTTTTCATTTTTTCTTCCTTGGTATGTTCTCATGAAAACAGCATGTTTAATCTTGTAAATACCTGACAGAGAGTCGGCAAAGACCGTAGAGTTTCTGGACTTTTGGGTTTCCAGAATTAAAATGGGACGTGTTATTTTCAGAATAAATCACTTTATTGAACATTTTATGAAGCTACGTTTTCTTACCCAATTCTCGTGAAAAGGGGGCGAGTTGCCATCTTCGTTAGAAAATACGAGCCAGTCCATGGCTCAAGATAAGTTTTACTATAAGTTCCTAGTAGTGTTATCTACGTCTCCCAAGGCTTGGGTTACAGAATTGTTTATGTACAAACATTAAAGTAACACTTTCCGAAAACCACTAAAACGGGTTGTGGAACACACGTAACATTACATGTATAAATCTCAAACACCTAACTGTTTAAATGAACAAAGTCTACTTCTTATACATGTAAACAGATCTAATAACTTTCATAATTACAGTAAACTACGTTTATAACGAACACGCTTATAACGAACTGACGGATATAACGAAGTGTTTTGATCTCGTCAATATGCTGTATATGCTTATACAGAACTACGGTTATAACGAAATAAAATAAGTGGTCCGTTTGAGTTCGTTATAACCGTAGTTTACCGTATTTGTAAATGTTCCTCATTTATTGAATTAACCACATCCCTTTGGCCAATCAGGGCCCTTTCATATAATTTCTTATAGGTATTCTAACCTGCCGGGCAAAAAAATGTACTTATGTTTGATGGTGGCTAAAATATAACAAGCAAGAAATGGTTATTCAATGGTGATGTATTTGATTTGGGTATCATACCTGTGTTTTGGACCTTAAGTTTGCAGTGTTTCGGCGACTGTTTTTCGCCTGGTAATGTTTTTGATAACGTTTGTATTTTTTGGGTACAATTCAATTTTCCAGGGTATACTTTCTTTTGCCCGACAGTTTACCATGGGTAGTATGTAATTTGATAAAATATAAGACACCACAGTAACCTTGGTGATGAGGTTTAAAACCAAATCTGATTACCTTTGGACATCAAAAGCAGACTTGTAAGGTGGACGACTAGAAGCACATATGTCCATCTGGCTCCCATGATGAGAGATGCTGAAACAGGAACAACGGAGATAGTAAACAACAGCGTTTAATTGGAAATTTATGCTAGTATGCTAGCCAGTCACTTGTAACATATAGGAGTGGTAGAAGGCAACCCTGACTCATACCTGATTCTTAATAAGTGCCAGACAAACATCAACTTTGAACAAGATATCTAAAGTGCAGATTCGACCACCTGAGGTCCGCCTGAGGCCACGGGTGTGAGCTGCAGGTACGTGCTACCGGTTACAATTGCACAACAGAGGGGCAGATATATACATTACGTCATGGTGTACTGTTACAGTTAAGTCGTGATCAACTGCATTGTGTCATTGAAATGGGATATCTTTTCAACAAAGGTGTGGAGTATGACAAGTTGCACTGAATAAAAACGAAGGAAATATGCACGATCAAACTCTCTCTCTCTCTCTCTCTCTCTCTCTCTCTCTCTCTCTCTCTCTCTCTCTCTCTCTCTCCTCCCTCTCCATCTCTCAATGTCACAACATATATAGAATCTGTACCCTCTAGGTGAATACTCACCGTGTTGTACACACACGCCAAGTAGGTCACCTCCCTGCTACACTCCCACTATCCGCGTCCAGAGTCGTCCCATCCTTACTGACCTGGTGTGGGCAATGCAGACCTAAACAAAGTATCGAAAGTAGCCACCTCCGACCACAGCCGTCAGAACCGTCACCCCAAACCACCAGTTCATGCCCGTACTCTAGTTCACTCTAGTATCACGCCAGGTGCCCGCCCTTTCACAACCCATGCATGACTGGAGTGACATACCTTACACGATGTCATTACGTCCCATTGTGTGTTCGGGTTTCGACTTGCACTGAGGAAAAAACTTAGTATTATGTATGGCGAAAATATCGCCGCCTTGGAGATCAGTAAGGTAATTATAAATACTAAGAATATGGTTTTCAGTTTGATTTGGCATGTAAACAATGTGAAGTAGGATAAAGTTCAGCACGATTGTTTGTGTCTTAACAGAGCCATATTTCCTGTTAGGAATAAACGAGACGGGAATATAGACTAATGAAGACATATATGTAAGTACGGGCTACCGGTCAACCGGCCAACTCACGGTCTTTTTCTACTGGTCACGGACAAAAGACCAGTATGTGATTTTGACCCGACACCGATTTATTGTGTAGGTGTCACTGCTTGTATTTAAATCCTCCTGCAGTATGACGTGACACAGCGGTTGTGGCTATATTAGTCATCTAGATGCGACTGTACAAGTTAGACAGGTAGTGTCGGGGTTACGAGGGTGTTCATTGTCGTACCCCTGCTGCAACTAGTGAGATGGGGGTGGGGCATTGTCACCGCGCAGTATTACAGATACAACATATACCTCCATGTCAGATTGATGAGATCTGACTGGTCCACGTGATCTTGATAAAATACCATGTATCACGCCTTGGAGGGGAATAGATTTCCTTAAATCCCTTATACCCCGCCACAAGCAAGCCAGACTGCAGGGAAAGTAGAATCCCTTATACCCCGCTTCAAAGGAAAACGCTGCACGCTTTTACCGAGGCAATGGAAGTCATGTGACATAGCACAAGTTATCCTCAGCTCAATCGAACAGCTGTTTCTATCCATTTTGAATTTGTTTTAATTCTTTTACAATTTCATGTGAAAACATGTCGGTAACATAGATTCGTTGTAGCAGGATGACACGGGGTACATGAGGTTTTATGCGTTCCTCGTTAGGTTTTATAAAAACCAATGTACCCCTATGATCCTGCTACAGCTTGTAATGAAACATAGATACACTAACAATAACTGTAGAATTACGCAGTAAATGGAACAAGGATTTGGCGACCACAACAGACACGTTATTTGTAGCAGGAGTTATGTCCCCTTGCTGTCACAGTACATTCCGTTAATTTGCTCTGTTATTGACAGAGCTCATAAATGGCCAGATTTTGCTGAGTATATGGTGTTTTAATAAATATAATTTGTGAAAACGCAAAAGAGTATATACATGTCACGATCATGTATCAACATACACGAGACCCGTGAATTCGGGGAAAAACAGGTCTTCAGCACCTCGGGGCCCTTGCTTGAAGATATCTTCTCTGATGTATTTTTCTTGGAACACCATATCTGTTCTATAAGTCCACGTTACACTGAACTGAGACAGCACTGTTTGCCTCAATATTTTAGGAACTAACCATCTCTTGACAAGTGCAGCCATGTATCTAATTCTTATACTACGTCTAGCACCAATGGACTAACCAAATTCTCTTTATTCGAACTAAAAAAGTGTAATAAGTTCCTTGAGATAATATTTAGTATCATACGCCAAATGATATGAACCAAGTTACCCGTCCCAAAAAAACGATCTTAGCGCTACGGCTGTCATAAGTCCATGTTAAAACATAGGAATTACGACGATCTTAGTGCTAAGATCAGTTTGTGCCAGTGGACCAAAGGTCCCGTTCAACAAAATTATCTTAACGCTACGACAATCGTAAGCCTATGTTAAAGTATGGCAGTTGAGATCATTTTGGAAATAAAATCGTTTTCTGCAAGTGGACCCAGGTCTCCAGTACCAATAGCTCTTGTAAGAGCTAATGGGGATCAGATTGTCAGGCTCGGTAACGAAGCTGATTGCGTGTCATCGCCCGATCACGTAGGTAGTCGCTTATGCTGCTACTGGTTTGACTGGTACAGACTCGGTCATTTACACTATCGCTAGAATATTGCAAACTGCGGCGTTACACAACATTCAGTCACTCACACAGGTGTTCGAAGTCTTGAATTGTGGGTGCGATCATTCGATCATTGCGTTCATCTGCGTTGTCCATCTACATTTATTGGGAACAACTCACAAGGCACTTCCCTCTAAAAAAAACGTCGTCCAATTTACGACGTCATCAAGTTCGAATCTTCAGACATGACAGAACAATATTTTACCGTGAAATAAACCATGCTTTCGTTCTTCATTGTTCTTTGTGATTTATTGCGTAGCTATCTAACATTCATGTCTTGTTCTGGTACAGATTTGTCTATTTAAGCAGACATTGTGTAAACTAATGTTTCTAAATAATTATTATGATATATGATGGCTGGTGGTATCGATTCAATCCGACAAGTTTGGTGTCACGATCCGAAAAATATACAGGAGCTATTTTCAAGCTCCATACACTAATGCGATGCCTTCGTTCTCAATATAGTATTGCCAATATGCTTTGGTGGTGGTTCCCCAATGTGTCGTCCAAACATGGTGACAAACATGGCAGTAAGTCATTTTGCACTATAAATTTGCTAAAAAGATCGTATGTATTCACATTTCACTTTCTATTTCCTTGAGTGGTTGACGTCTAACACAACCATCATTTTAAGAATGGCAAGGTATGATAACGATGATATTACCCTCTTCTGTTTCCGTTGTTGTGCTGGTGGATGTGAAAATTGACGATTCGTGCACGTTTTGCACGGGTTGTTGTCCTGAACGGAAAAACGTCGACCCACACGTCGACACACATAATGGTCCGACCCGAAAGCGTACTCCAGTAACCTGATAAAAGGCAATTTGGATTTGCCTTTTGACCTCGATTTCGTAGAGTCTGGTTTTGAATCAATCGATCCTGTATTGTCGTTAATCGATGACGTCCTGAAATTGGTCAACATTTTGTGTTTGTTGGTACCTGTTTAATACTCTGCTAATCACAGACTGTGAAACATTGAACGTGTCGGCCATTATTGATACACATGTGCCGGAAGATGCACGACTACTTTTCAGTAAGTGATGGAATATATACGGTAGAGTTATCTCCCTTTCACTAGTTAACGTTAAAGTTAAAGTGATATAGCAATAAATACGATAAAACCGTTCAAACAATATTGTATGTTATTTTAAATATATTAGGTATTGTCATGTTGACAAATGAATCAAGATAAACGTTTTAATGTTACATACACGTGCAGGTGCATTATTACATTTAGGACTGGGTGCCTGTCAGTCGTGTACAATAAACACAGAAATACGGAAGTCTTGTACAATAAACAGAAATACAGAAGGCTTGTACAATAAACATTGATATACGGAAGTATTGTACAATAAACACAGAAATACGGAAGTCTTGTACAATAAACACAGAAATACAGAAGTCTTGTACAATAAACAAAGAAATACAGAAGGCTTGTACAATAAACAAAGAAATACGGAAGGCTTGTACAATAAACATAGAAACACGGAAGTCTTGTACAATAAACACAGAAATACGGAAGTCTTGTACAATAAACATAGAAATACGGAAGTCTTGTACAATAAACACAGAAAATCCGGAAGTCTTGTAAAATAAACATAGACATACGGAAGTCTTGTACAATAAACATAGACATACAGAAGTCTTGCACAATAAACATAGACATACGGAAGTCTTGTACAATAAACACAGAAATACGGAAGTCTTGTACAATAAACACAGAAATACGGAAGTCTTGTACAATAAACACAGAAAATCCGGAAGTCTTGTAAAATAAACATAGACATACGGGAAAATATAAGTAGAATGCATTTGTGGGATGTCAATTAAAAGACATTGTGGTTAGCCTGATGTTTATCAATATATCATCGATACATGAATGAATGATACATGGATGCCATCATCACATCATCCAGATAAATCCCATTGTCCCATCACTCAGATGAATCAATTCCATTGTTACCTCACTCAGATGAATCCCATTGTCCCATCACTCAGATGAATCCCATTGTTACCTCACTCAGATGAATTCCATTGTCCCATCACTCAGATGAATCAATTCCATTGTTACCTCACTCAGATGAATCCCATTGTCCCATCACTCAGATGAATCCCATTGTTATCTCACTCAGATGAATTCCATTGTCCCATCACTCAGATGAATGCCATTGTCACCTCACTCAGATGAATCCTTTGGCTACCTCACTCAGATGAATCCCATTGTTACCTCACTCAGATGAATCCCAATGTTACCTCACTCAGATGAATCACATTGTCACCGCGTTCAAATGAATCACATTGTTATCTCACTCAGCTGAATTTCATTGGTATCTCACTCAGCTGAATCCCACTGTCATCTCACTCAGCTGAATGACACTCCAGTTCTAAAGCTGACATGATTCTGTCATAAGGTGTATCCCAAGAATGTTATTTACTCTAATCTGGTATTAGTGAGCGGCTTATATGTAGGTACAAGAAGTTAGATGACCTTCAATAGCTGTGCCAATCGCTGTGTCAAGAACTCTTCCCTTATGCTATACAGGGCCACGGGTTTGCGCTCCAGACTTGGCTCACAAGGTCTGCGGGTCAGTCTGAATATCAGCTGATTCGGATCTTGGTCTGCCAGCATCAAACTATTCATTGTGGGGCGTCATCAAAAGTGTCACTTTTCACTTTCTTCCAACATCTGATGACACACTTCAAGTGATTGTTCCAACGGAGCAAAACCGTTCTCACTCAAAGATGATTCCAGCATAGCTAAACACTCACTCACTCACTCACTGACCCATCTCCCGTTGTCTTCCCTGCCGTCTTGACTTTCTGGAAAAGCCAAGACATTCATATTTAAACGACAAGCAGTTGTTGAACTTCTTACTCTATACAAGAGAGCTGGATTAAGCACAGATTTGAACTGACGTTCAGTTAAATCACGGCGTGACATCTTAATCTGGGTGAAAGGCCCAAAACCCAAGAGTACGTGTATGGTGTATGATTCTCTCAAGCCTGGATCCTTATGGATGCCTCAACTCCCGTTGTCTTCCCGCTATCTTCACTTGGGGGATCTCTTTTCTGGAAAAGCCAACACATTCATAATCAACTACCAGCAGTCGTTGTTTCAAAAATGAACTTCTCACTCTATATAAGAGAGCAGTTGGATTCAGCGCCGACTTGAACTGGCGTTCGGTTACATCGCGGCGTGTCATCTTAATCTGGGTGAAAAGCCCTAAACCCACGAGTACGTGTATGGTGCTGACTAACCTAGAAATATGATCTGAGCGAAACTGGGATTAAAACCCACGCTCAAGGGCTTCTCTACTTAGGCCTTAGGCGACTGGGCCACAAGAAAGAAGAGTCCACCTTCATAGTCACCAAGCAGTATGGAACAAATACGCTCTCTTTACTACGTTCCACTATGCATCATAACGGTTAGGGCAGAATGGTAACCCGTAGGTTAAGCTCATCTATCGAAGTCTCGGGTTCGATTCTACGGATGAGTACAACTATGTATAATGTCCGTCATTAGTGTTCCCCGTCGAGATATACTGAACAACAAAGGTTCCTGTGACATTGAATAAGATTAAATGCAAAGTTATGTTTTTTACCAAATCTGAAACAATTGCGGTTTGCAACAGATAAAAGACTCCTGTAAGTGTTCAAATGGTTTAATTTGCCATACTGACTTCAGAAAATGCCTGATTTCATTAAAAAAAAACATGAACATGCCAAAATGTCAATTTACAAATCAATAGCGTGTGTGTCCACCTCTGGTTGCGAAGCAAGCAACACATCTTCGTCTCATGGTATGGACCAGGCGTCGCATAAAGTCCTGTGGGATATCTGTCCATATCTGCTGGTACATGTTTCGAAGTTCCTGGAGTGTCTGTGAAACACGTGGTTGACGTCGAAGGCGCCGATCGACCTCATCCCACATGAGCTCGATTGGTGAGAGAGCAGGGGAGCGAGCCGGCCAGGGGATGACATTCACGTTGTTTTGTTGAAGAGAATCCTGAACAAATCGAGCAATATGAGGCCGGGCGTTGTCATGTTGAAAGGTAATGCCTGGGCCATGACGACGCAAACACGGTAGAACAACAGGGCCGATGATCTCGTCGCGGTAGCGCTGTCCATTGAGATTTCCCTCTACCACTATCAAACGGATCCTCTGTCTTGCAGTAATCCCACCCCATACCATCACGCTGCCGCCCCCGAACCGATCTTCTTCCATGACACAATGATTGACGTAACGTTCATCTCGACGTCCTTACACTCGAATCCGTCCATCGCTGTGGCTGAGGTGAAAACGAGACTCGTCAGTGAAAAGAACTTGTCCCCACCGCATGGCCGTCCAGCGTAGACGCTGTCTGCGCCACTCTAGACGTGCTTGACGGTGGTTTCCTGTCAAAATGGGACGTCTGGCAGGTCTTCTGGCGACAATCCCTGCACATCTGAGGCGACGACGTGCGGATTGTGAAGATATTCGTCGAAGGCCAGGGATGCTTCTTGCAGTCACTGTTGCTGGCTGGAATCGATTTCGTAGGTGTGTTGTTCGAATCCAGTTGTCTTGTCGATTATTGGTTACGCATGGCCTGCCACTCCGAGGATGGTCTCTGACTGCATTCGTCTGTTGCCAACGTTGAAATAAACACCAAATAGTGTTTCTGTGGACGTTAAATTGTCTTGCAACATCAGGTTGATTCGATCCTGCTTCAAGCATACCAATGGCTCGCAGACGCTCATTTTCGGCTAGGCGTGGCATGTCGTAATGTTGAATAATTGCGTAATTTTGTTGTTTTTCTGAGTGGTTGTTGTCAGCACGATGCTAAACAATGCATATGGAATCCCGTTAACGCACATGTTTTTATACCCATTCTTGGGTAGTGAAATGGACAACGTTTGTATGAAATGCATTCTTTTCTGTAGCAGTTGCGTTTTTGTGACTTGATTCCATACATGTACTACAATATTGAAAACCAAAATTTACTTGTTTGAAATATACACTAAAACATTGGTATCACAGGAACTTTTGTTGTTGAGTATATCATAAAATAATGTCAAACGCGTCTTTTAATGATTCTCGTAAACTCACACGTCTTATTTTCATGCACATGCCCCTGTGGACTGGCTCTCAAATCGTGTCTGTTTGACGGCACAATTTACGTGGACGTCTTGTAATGGAGACGACAGATGGTACCTGGACCTAGTGTAGCTCACCTGGACAAGACGATGCACATCAGGATGGGGATAGAGAGGAGGACGGCAAAACTTGCGACGGCGGATACTACCGCACCCTCCGTGAGATATTGAGGACCTGAAGAAGAAGAGAGTAGAAGGCAATAAAAAGTGTTTACAGAAGAGTGAGTGAGTTGAGTTTAACGCGGCTTTTAACAGTATTCTAGTTATATCACGGCGTGTCAGCTTAATGCGGGAGGAAAGCCCGAAGTGATGCAGGTCTCAGACATTTACCACTTTGGTGAAACCCACGAGCACGGGATTGGTGCTAACAAACCCAGAAACATAATTGGGCGAACCGGGATTCGAACCCACAATCATAGGTTTCTGGCGTACCCAAGGGACGCAACTCTGCACAGCGAATCGCGGCGCCTTTGACGACTGGGCCACCCGTGTTCACAGAAGTGGTCGTGGAGGTGCTTTGGAACAACACATCAAGAAACATTGACTCGTGAGCCTGTTGTTTTGACGTTTATGTTGGTTATAACACGGATGACAGCTTTATGTGAGAGGAATGAGTGAGTAGGGTTAACGCTGCTCTAAACGGTATGTTAGATATCTCACGGGATGACGGCTTAATGAGGGAGGAGTTAGTGAGTTGGGTTGACGCTACCTTCACCAGTATTTTAATTATATCACGGGATGCGGCTTAAGGTGAGTGAGTGAGTTGAGCTGACGCTGCTCACAACAATAGTGTAGTTATATCACCGGGATGGCGGCTTAAGGTGAGTGAGTGAGTTGGGTTGACGCTTCTCTCAACAATATTTTAGTGATATCACGGGATGACATCCTCATGTGTGTGAGTGAGTGATTTGGGTTGACGCTTCTCTCAGCAATAGTTTACTCATATCACGGGATGACAGCTTAATGTGAGTGAGTGAGTGAAATTGGTTGACGTTGCTCTCAAGAATGTATTAGTTATATAACGGGATGACGGCTTAATGTGATTAAGTGAAATGGGTTGACGCTGCTCTCAACGCTTTTTTAGTGATATCACGGGGTGACGGCTTAATTAGGGAGGAGGTGTGTCAGGACGGTAAACACTTTTGTGAAGCCTATGAGAAATATTGTGGTCCTGACTGACACCTGCGAATCTGAAATTCGACCCTCTACCAGCGGCGCCTGTCACGGCTTAGGGAGGCAACTTAGTCACTGCGCCTTAGACTACTGGAACTCACCGCAATATAGGCGGTAAGAAAATATCAAACATATAATTTACAGCACGCATTCTCTGATTCGTGAAATGATTATCAAATAAATTAATCTTTCAAAAAAGTGATTGATTCTATTACCATGGAAATGTCATCACTCACGTGTAAATAAAAGATTGCTGATGCGACGTTAAGCAATAATTACTGACTCACTAACTCACTCATATATGGATGATCCAAAGATATCTTTTCATCACTAATATTCTTTTCATCATGTGCATACACCTCATGTAACTCACCTGAACTGTTGCTGGCGAGAGTTGTCGTCATTGACACAGGAGTTGTTGACGTAGCGGTTGTAGTTGTAGTCGGTTGCATTGTAGTTGTAGATGTAGTAGTTGTAGTCGGTTGCATTGTAGTTGTAGGTGTAGTAGTTGTAGTCGGTTGCAGTGTAGTTGTAGGTGTACTAGTTGTAGTCGGTTGCAGTGTAGTTGTAGGTGTAGTAGTTGTAGTTGGTTGCGTTGTAGTCGTTTGCATTGTAGTTGTAGATGTAGAAGTTGTAGTCGGTTGCATTGTAGTTGTAGGTGTAGTAGTTGTAGTTGGTTGCGTTGTAGTCGGTTGCATTGTAGTTGTAGGTGTAGAAGTTGTAGTCGGTTGCATTGTAGTTGTAGGTGTAGTAGTTGTAGTCGGTTGCATTGTAGTTGTAGGTGTAGTAGTTGTAGTCGGTTGCAGTGTAGTTGTAGGTGTAGTAGTTGTAGTCGGTTGCATTGTAGTTGTAGGTGTAGTAGTTGTAGTCGGTTGCATTGTAGTTGTAGGTGTAGTAGTTGTAGTCGGTTGCAGTGTAGTTGTAGGTGTACTAGTTGTAGTCGGTTGCAGTGTAGTTGTAGGTGTAGTAGTTGTAGTCGGTTGCAGTGTAGTTGTAGGTGTACTAGTTGTAGTCGGTTGCAGTGTAGTTGTAGGTGTACTAGTTGTAGTCGGTTGCAGTGTAGTTGTAGGTGTACTAGTTGTAGTCGGTTGCAGTGTAGTTGTAGGTGTAGTAGTTGTAGTTGGTTGCGTTGTAGTTGTAGATGTAGTAGTTGTAGTCGTTTGCATTGTAGTTGTAGTCGTTTGCTGTGTAGTAGTAGGTGAAGTAGTTGTAGTCGGTTGCGTTGTGGTCGTTTCCATTGTAGTTGTAGATGTAGTAGTTGTAGTCGTTTCCAGTGTAGTAGTAGGTGAAGTAGTTGTAGTCGTTTGCTGTGTAGTAGTAGGTGTACTAGTTGTAGTCGGTTGCAGTGTAGTTGTAGGTGTAGTAGTTGTAGTCGGTTGCATTGTAGTTGTAGGTGTAGTAGTTGTAGTCGGTTGCGTTGTGGTCGTTTCCATTGTAGTTGTAGATGTAGTAGTTGTAGTCGTTTCCAGTGTAGTAGTAGGTGAAGTAGTTGTAGTCGTTTGCATTGTAGTTGTAGATGTAGTAGTTGTAGTCGGTTGCGTTGTAGTCGGTTGCATTGTAGTTGTAGGTGTAGTAGTTGTAGTCGGTTGCGTTGTGGTCGTTTCCATTGTAGTTGTAGATGTAGTAGTTGTAGTCGGTTGCGTTGTAGTTGTAGGTGTAGTAGTTGTAGTCGGTTGCGTTGTGGTCGTTTGTATTGTAGTTATAGGTGTAGTAGTTGTAGTCGGTTGCACTGTAGTTGTAGCTGTAGTAGTTGTAGTCGGTTGCGTTGTAGTCGTTTGCATTGTAGTTGTAGGTGTAGGTGTAGTAGTTGTAGTCGGTTGCGTTGTGGTCGTTTGCATTGTAGTTGTAGGTGTAGTAGTTGTAGTCGGTTGCATTGTAGTTGTAGATGTAGTAGTTGTAGTCGTTTGCATTGTAGTAGTAGGTATAGTAGTTGTAGTCGGTTGCACTGTAGTTGTAGATGAAGTAGTTGTAGTTGGTTGCGTTGTAGTCGTTTGCATTGTAGTTGTAGGTGTAGTAGTTGTAGTCGGTTGCATTGTAGTTGTAAATGTAGTAGTTGTAGATGGTTGCGTTGTAGTCGTTTGCATTGTAGTTGTAGGTGTAGTAGTTGTAGTCGGTTGCATTGCAGGTGTAGTAGTTGTAGTCGGTTGCATTGTAGTTGTAAATGTAGTAGTTGTAGATGGTTGCGTTGTAGTCGTTTCCATTGTAGTTGTAGGTGTAGTAGTTGTTGTCGGTTGCGTCGTAGTCGTTTCCATTGTAGTTGTAGATGTAGTAGTTGTAGTTGGTTGCGTTGTAGTCGTTTGCATTGTAGTTGTAGGTGTAGTAGTTGTAGTCGGTTGCATTGTAGTTGTAGGTGTAGTAGTTGTAGTCGGTTGCATTGTAGTTGTAGGTGTACTAGTTGTAGTCGGTTGCATTGTAGTTGTAGGTGTACTAGTTGTAGTCGGTTGCATTGTAGTTGTAGGTGTACTAGTTGTAGTCGGTTGCATTGTAGTTGTAGGTGTACTAGTTGTAGTCGGTTGCATTGTAGTTGTAGGTGTACTAGTTGTAGTCGGTTGCATTGTAGTTGTAGATGTAGTAGTTGTAGTCGGTTGCACTGTAGTTGTAGATGTAGTAGTTGTAGTTGGTTGCGTTGTAGTCGTTTGCATTGTAGTTGTAGATGTAGTAGTTGTAGTTGGTTGCGTTGTAGTTGTAGGTGTAGTAGTTGTAGTCGGTTGCATTGTAGTTGTAGATGTAGTAGTTGTAGTTGGTTGCGTTGTAGTCGTTTGCATTGTAGTTGTAGATGTAGTAGTTGTAGTTGGTTGCGTTGTAGTTGTAGGTGTAGTAGTTGTAGTCGGTTGCGTTGTAGTCGTTTGCATTGTAGTTGTAGGTGTAGTAGTTGTAGTCGGTTGCATTGTAGTTGTAGATGTAGTAGTTGTAGTCGGTTGCGTTGTAGTTGTAGGTGTAGTAGTTGTAGTCGGTTGCATTGTAGTTGTAGATGTAGTAGTTGTAGTCGTTTGCATTGTAGTTGTAGGTGTAGTAGTTGTAGTCGGTTGCATTGAAGTTGTAGGTGTACTAGTTGTAGTCGGTTGCATTGTAGTTGTAGATGTAGTAGTTGTAGTCGGTTGCGTTGTAGTTGTAGGTGTAGTAGTTGTAGTCGGTTGCGTTGTAGTCGGTTGCATTGTAGTTGTAGGTGTAGTAGTTGTAGTCGGTTGCGTTGTAGTCGTTTGCATTGTAGTTGTAGATGTAGTAGTTGTAGTCGGTTGCATTGTAGTTGTAGATGTAGTAGTTGTAGTTGGTTGAGTTGTAGTCGTTTGCATTGTAGTTGTAGATGTAGTAGTTGTAGTCGTTTGCATTGTAGATGTAGGTGCAGAAGTTGTAGTCGGTTGCGTTGTGGTCGTTTGCATTGTAGTTGTAGATGTAGTAGTTGTAGTCGGTTGCATTGTAGTTGTAGATGTAGTAGTTGTAGTCGGTTGCATTGTAGTTGTAGATGTAGTAGTTGTAGTCGGTTGCATTGTAGTTGTAGGTGTAGTAGTTGTAGTCGTTTGCATTGAAGTTGTAGGTGTAGTAGTTGTAGTTGGTTGCATTGTAGTTGTAGATGTAGTAGTTGTAGTCGTTTGCATTGTAGTTGTAGATGTAGTAGTTGTAGTTGGTTGCGTTGTGGTCGTTTGCATTGTAGTTGTAGGTGTAGTAGTTGTAGTCGTTTGCATTGTAGTTGTAGGTGTAGTAGTTGTAGTCGGTTGCATTGTAGTTGTAGATGTAGTAGTTGTAGTCGGTTGCATTGTAGTTGTAGGTGTAGTAGTTGTAGTTGGTTGAGTTGTAGTTGTAGGTGTAGTAGTTGTAGTCGGTTGCATTGTAGTTGTAGTTGGTTGAGTTGTAGTCGTTTGCACTGTAGTTGTAGATGTAGTAGTTGTAGTCGGTTGCGTTGTAGTCGTTTGCATTGTAGTTGTAGATGTAGTAGTTGTTGTCGGTTGCATTGTAGTTGTAGATGTAGAAGTTGTAGTTGGTTGAGTTGTAGTCGTTTGCATTGTAGTTGTAGGTGCAGTAGTTGTAGTCGGTTGCGTTGTGGTCGTTTGCATTGTAGTTGTAGATGTAGTAGTTGTAGTCGGTTGCATTGTAGTTGTAGGTGCAGTAGTTGTAGTCGGTTGCGTTGTGGTCGTTTGCATTGTAGTTGTAGATGTACTAGTTGTAGTCGGTTGCACTGTAGTTGTAGATGTAGTAGTTGTAGTTGGTTGAGTTGTAGTCGTTTGCATTGTAGTTGTAGATGTAGTAGTTGTAGTTGGTTGAGTTGTAGTCGTTTGCATTGTAGTTGTAGATGTAGTAGTTGTAGTCGGTTGTGTTGTAGTCGGTTGCGTTGTAGTTGTAGATGTAGTAGTTGTAGTCGGTTGCACTGTTGTTGTAGATGTAGTAGTTGTAGTCGTTTGCATTGTAGTTGTAGGTGTAGTAGTTGTAGTCGGTTGCGTTGTAGTCGTTTGCATTGTAGTTGTAGGTGTAGTAGTTGTAGTCGGTTGTGTTGTAGTCGGTTGCGTTGTAGTTGTAGATGTAGTAGTTGTAGTCGTTTGCATTGTAGTTGTAGATGTAGTAGTTGTAGTCGGTTGCGTTGTAGTCGTTTGCATTGTAGTTGTAGGTGTACTAGTTGTAGTCGGTTGCATTGTAGTTGTAGGTGTAGTAGTTGTAGTCGGTTGTGTTGTAGTCGGTTGCGTTGTAGTTGTAGATGTAGTAGTTGTAGTCGGTTGCACTGTTGTTGTAGATGTAGTAGTTGTAGTCGGTTGCATTGTAGTTGTAGGTGTAGTAGTTGTAGTCGTTTGCATTGTAGTTGTAGGTGTAGTAGTTGTAGTCGGTTGCATTGTAGTTGTAGATGTAGTAGTTGTAGTCGGTTGCATTGTAGTTGTAGGTGTAGTAGTTGTAGTCGGTTGCATTGTAGTTGTAGATGTAGTAGTTGTAGTCGGTTGCATTGTAGTTGTAGATGTAGTAGTTGTAGTCGGTTGAGTTGTAGTCGTTTGCATTGTAGTTGTAGGTGTAGTAGTTGTAGTCGTTTGCATTGTAGTTGTAGATGTAGTAGTTGTAGTCGGTTGAGTTGTAGTCGTTTGCATTGTAGTTGTAGGTGTAGTAGTTGTAGTCGGTTGCATTGTAGTTGTAGGTGTAGTAGTTGTAGTCGGTTGCGTTGTAGTCGTTTGCATTGTAGTTGTAGGTGTAGTAGTTGTAGTCGGTTGTGTTGTAGTCGGTTGCGTTGTAGTTGTAGATGTAGTAGTTGTAGTCGTTTGCATTGTAGTTGTAGATGTAGTAGTTGTAGTCGGTTGCGTTGTAGTCGTTTGCATTGTAGTTGTAGGTGTAGTAGTTGTAGTCGGTTGCACTGTTGTTGTAGATGTAGTAGTTGTAGTCGGTTGCATTGTAGTTGTAGGTGTAGTAGTTGTAGTCGGTTGCATTGTAGTTGTAGATGTAGTAGTTGTAGTCGGTTGCATTGTAGTTGTAGGTGTAGTAGTTGTAGTCGGTTGCATTGTAGTTGTAGATGTAGTAGTTGTAGTCGGTTGCATTGTAGTTGTAGATGTAGTAGTTGTAGTCGGTTGAGTTGTAGTCGTTTGCATTGTAGTTGTAGGTGTAGTAGTTGTAGTCGGTTGCATTGTAGTTGTAGATGTAGTAGTTGTAGTCGTTTGCATTGTAGTTGTAGGTGTAGTAGTTGTAGTCGTTTGCATTGTAGTTGTAGGTGTAGTAGTTGTAGTCGGTTGTGTTGTAGTCGGTTGCGTTGTAGTTGTAGATGTAGTAGTTGTAGTCGGTTGCACTGTTGTTGTAGATGTAGTAGTTGTAGTCGGTTGCATTGTAGTTGTAGGTGTAGTAGTTGTAGTCGGTTGCATTGTAGTTGTAGATGTAGTAGTTGTAGTCGGTTGCATTGTAGTTGTAGGTGTAGTAGTTGTAGTCGGTTGCATTGTAGTTGTAGATGTAGTAGTTGTAGTCGGTTGCATTGTAGTTGTAGATGTAGTAGTTGTAGTCGGTTGCATTGTAGTTGTAGGTGTAGTAGTTGTAGTCGGTTGCATTGTAGTTGTAGATGTAGTAGTTGTAGTCGGTTGCATTGTAGTTGTAGGTGTAGTAGTTGTAGTCGGTTGCACTGTAGTTGTAGATGAAGTAGTTGTACTTGGTTGTGTTGTAGTCGTTTGCATTGTAGTTGTAGGTGTAGTAGTTGTAGTCGGTTGCATTGTAGTTGTAGGTGTAGTAGTTGTAGTCGGTTGAGTTGTAGTCGTTTGCATTGTAGTTGTAGGTGCAGAAGTTGTAGTCGGTTGCGTTGTGGTCGTTTGCATTGTAGTTGTAGACGTAGTAGTTGTAGTCGGTTGCATTGTAGTTGTAGATGTAGTAGTTGTAGTCGGTTGCATTGTAGTTGTAGATGTAGTAGTTGTAGTCGGTTGCGTTGTAGTCGTTTGCATTGTAGTTGTAGGTGTAGTAGTTGTAGTCGGTTGCGTTGTAGTCGGTTGCATTGTAGTTGTAGATGTAGTAGTTGTAGTCGGTTGTGTTGTAGTCGTTTGCATTGTAGTTGTAGGTGTAGTAGTTGTAGTCGGTTGCGTGGTAGATGTAGTAGTTGTAGTCGGTTGCATTGTAGTTGTAGTCGTTTGCAGTGTAGTAGTAGGTGAAGTAGTTGTAGTCGGTTGTGTTGTTGGTGTAGTTGTTGTAGTTGGTTGCGTTGTAGTTGTAGATGTAGTAGTTGTAGTCGTTTGCATTGTAGTTGTAGTCGTTTGCAGTGTAGTAGTAGACGTTTGCATTGTTGTCGTAGATGCTGTTGTAGTCCCAGTTGTTGCTTCGTTGGAAAATAAAACATCTGATTGGGAACATTTTGATGTATGTAGTTTATTTCTTCTAACATTTGCAAGCATGCATATTTCTTCCAAATGAATGAATTTTATATATTATAGCTAAAATGGATAGAATTATCATCAAACCGCCCGCACGTTATCAGAAATGAGCGGGCCACTGTAACTTGATAATGCCCTCATATTGCTTGACGACGGGCCATTATCAAGCCCGTTGGTCGGTGACGTCATAGGGTAGAGAAAATGACGTCACGTATTATAGTGACGTCATCTGGTTTGTTCTATGAAGTTTCCATATTTGTAAAATGTGGTCAGTGACATTCGTGTTGCTTGCAGTAAATGTTTCAAAACCGATGTTGTTGTTTCTTTTTATTCGATAACAAATTCCATCCGTTTTAGCTATAATAACGGTAACGCTCTTTTTCAGGGCATTATCATTTGCAGAAGCCCTCGGTCTTTTCAACTGCCCTCCTTCGTCGGTCAGTTAATGGAAAACCTCGGGCTTCTGCAAATGATAATGCCCTGAAAAATAGCGTTACCCTTATAGCAGGAATGAAATGAATATTAAGATTAGTACCAGTCGTGTTGGGACTGTATTAAATGTGAATTTTAAAATCTTTCAGAATTCCTCAAACTGTCGATGGCATAGTTTGAAATCTTTGTGTTGTGGTCTTTGATATTTCACTTCATAAAAAATAATTGGGAATAATAACAAAAGAAGAAAAAATAATAAATACAATAGTTGAAGGTTCTGTGGACCTTTCCCGCCTGCCATAGGCGCCCTATGAATATTCATGAACCTAGTGTTATGCTAATAGACATGCATATAAATGACATCACAATGAGAACGGAGTCATTATGCAGGATTGTTAAGAATGTGAAGAATGCAGCCTTTGTAAAAATGGCTAAGCCTAAGAATTCTTTAGGAATGCCATTGAAGCTATTTGGAATGAGTGAGTGAGTGAGTGAGTTGGGTTTAACGCCGCTTTTAACAGTATTCCAGTTATATCGCGGCGTGTCAGCTTAATGTGGGAGGAAAGCCCGAAGTGATGCAGGTCTCAGACGTTTACCACTTCGGTGAAACCCACGAGCACGGGTATGGTGCTGACAAACCTAGAAACATAATCGGGGCGAACCGGGATTCGAACCCGTGATCATAGGTTTCTGGCGTGCCCAAGGGACGCAACTCTGCACAGCGCATCGCGGCGCCTTAGACGACTGGGCCACCCGTGCCCCTATTTGGAATGAGGTTAGGGTAGATTCCTTCAGATGTATAATAGAATGTCACCCTTTCGTGAAGAAAATTGGAATTCTCTAGGAATGGCATTGAAGCTATTTGGAATGTAGTCGGGGTAAATACCCTTCAGATACATACTAGAATGATCATAATGAAATGGAATGTCACCCTTTCATGAAAAAGTGTGAAAGTTCGTAGGAATGGCATTGAAGCTATTGGAATGTAGTCGGGATAGATACCTTCAGATACATAGTACAATTATCGTCGTAAACTGGATTGTCACCTTATCCTGTAAGAATGAAACAATCCTCGATCTCATGATACAGCTACTCAATGAATACGTAGAATGTCAGCATCGAGACAAAGAGTAGAATGTACACATTCACCATTTGATCATCACAGGCGACTGCGAGGAAATATATATTTTGTTTTTGCTCACAATCTGATTCAACCAATACAATCAATCATTTTCACACAAATAAATGAATAAAAAATAGTAGTTTTATAAAAAATAATTCTCTACTTTATTCACGCCGTTATATATTTCGTTGTAAAACGTCAGTCTTATTCTTATTACAAACTTAATTTCCAACTCTGAAAAATCTGCTTCACTCATATCGTACCCTAAGTTTCCTATCTAAACCCTGTATCAGACCATAAACGTCTTCTAAAATTATATCTAGTTCACATGACATATTATTCATCGAAAATATTTGATAAATGAATGGAAGTATGTTGTAAAAGCTAGGTCGAAATGAAACATCCCAAGTTCTTATTACGGATACATGAACAGTTTCAGAATTCTGTTTCATATTCTTCATGAAGGTTACAATTAAAATAGTTTTTAATTAAAACATAATTATTCAAGTAGTTGGTAAACATTACATAAAGTCATAATCTCACCGATGGTGTTTTCCAAATCCTGTTGAAATTCATGAAACACATATCTTCCGTGTAGCATGTATTCCTTATTCCACACGACTTTAGAACTTGTCTGACTCGTTGAGAGTATGTTTACCTTTACTGTCTTCAATTTATTCGTCACAACTCTATACTGTGATATAGCACCGTAAATGGTCTTACAGAAATAACCGCCCCCTTAAACTATGTTTAAGTTACAATACCCTGTTTAGAGAGTGAACAGGACGAGTGTTGTCCTGATTGACCTAGATGGGAACGATACCTCAGGTTTTCCTAAACTGTGTCTCAACATAGGCTGCCGCTTTGGAGGACTTGTTCACAATGTTGGTCACTCGTTTTGAAATATAT